AATTCCCAGTTTCCTTTCCCTAAACTGCCAAAGTTACCCCGAATTCCCACTCCTCACACACCTGTGGCCGTGCCCTGAGCTCTCCGGGGCCATTCCCGGGAGGAAAAATCCCTGGAATTCCCCAGGGCCTGGCAGGATGGGGCTGCCATGGATACTGTCACCATGGAGCTGTTGTCATGGTGACGCTGCCATGGATGGGAGGGAAGGGAAAGGAAGGGAAAGGGAAAGGGAAAAGGAAAGGAAAGGGAGGGAAAAAGGAAAGGGAAAAGGAAAGGAAAGGGAGGGATTCCCCTATGAATTCCTGCTGGAAGGATTTTTTTAGGAATTCCTCACTCACTCGGTGTTTATTTCCCCAGAATTCCTGCTGGAAGGATTTTTTAGGAATTCCTCACTCAGTGGAGTTTATTCCCTCTGAATTTATTCTGGAATGGTTTTTTTTAGGAATTCCTCACTCAGTGGAGTTTTATTCCCCTCTGAATTCATTCTGGAAGGGATTTTTTGGGAATTTCTCACTCAGGTGCTACCAGCACAAAGTACCAAAGCTCTGCTCCCTCTGAATTCCTGCTGGAAGGTTTTTTTTTAGGAATTCCTCACTCAGTGGAGTTTATTCCCTCTGAATTCATTCTGGAATGGTTTTTTTTAGGAATTCCTCACTCAGTGGAGTTTATCCCCCTGAATTTCTGCTGTAAGTTTTTTTTGTTTTTTTTTAGGAGTTCCTCACTCAGTGGAGTTTATTCCCTCTGAATTCATTCTGGAAGGGATTCTAAACCCATTCCTGGTGGGACTTTGGCCACGTTTCGGGGCATTTTTTGCCATTTCTGAGCCAACACAAATGCACAGAGCGGGGCTGTGGGGATCTCTGAGGAGCTCAGCCCCGTCTCCTCCGTGGGAAGGGCTTGGGGATGGGGCCAGGGATTGTTTTGCAGAAAGAAAAAGGAAAAAAAGCCTGGCAGGGCTTCAGCAGGAAGGGAGAGCGGCCGGAAAGGCGCGGGGCACGGAGCCAGGGCACGGAGCCGGGGCACGGAGCCAGGACACGGAGCCAGGACACGCCTGGGCTGAGCTCCGGCCACACATCTGGGGAAAGAGAGAGTTCTTGGCCAGTCCTGGGGATAGAACCTCGTTCAGATCATTTTGGGGTGAAAGGATTCAGTTCTTGGCCAGTCCTGGGACTGAGCTCCGTCCACACGGTTTGGGGAAAGAGTCAGTTCTCGGCCAGTCCTGGTCATGGAGCTTGATTCAGATCATTTTGGGGTGCAAAGAGTCAGTTCTTGTCCAGCCGTGGACATGGAGCTTCATTCAGATCATTTTGGGGTGAAAGGATTCAGTTCTTGGCTGAGCTGGGGACTGAGCTCCATCCACACGGTTTGGGGTGAAAGGAGTCAGTTCTGGGCTGAGCTGGGGATAAAGCTTTATTTATACTATTTTGGGGGAAAAGAGTCAGTTCTTGGCCAGCCGTGGGACAGAGCTTAATTCACACGGTTTGGGGGGAAGAGTCAGTTCTTGGCCAGCCCTGGGGACAGAGCTTGGCTCAGATCATTTTGGGGAGAAAAGAGTCAGTTCTTGGCCAGTCCTGGGGACAGAGCTTGGCTCAGATCATTTTGGGGTGAAAGGATTCAGTTCTTGGCTGATTTGGGTTCCTGCAGCTGGGAGAGGCTGAGAGTCCCTGGGGTTTGCTCAGGAGGCACAGATGGGATGGGAATGGGAATGGGAATGGGAATGGGATGGGATTTATAGGATGGGATGGGAATGGGAACAGGATGGGATAGGAACAGGTTGGGAATGGGGATGGGATGAGATGGGATCCCTGGGATGGGATTTATAGGACGGGATAGGAACAGGTTGGGAATGGGATGGGATGAGATGGGATCCCTGGGATGGGATTTATAGGATGGGATAGGAACAGGTTGGGAATGGGATGGGATCCATGGGATGAGATGGGGATGGGGCTGGTGAGGAGCAGCCGTGGATTCCCATCCCAGATCCCTGTGGGATGGTGCTGAGGTGGCGTTTCCTCTTCCCTGAGGAGTCATTCCAGGTCCCCGGGCTGCTTGTGTAACTCTGCCTTCATCTCTGACAGCCGGCAGCAGTGGGAGGATTGAAATTTCAGTTTGGGAGTGGAGCTGGCACAGCCTCAGCTCGTCAGCAGGGAAATTGGGATTCCTCAAGGAAAGCAGGAAAAGGACGTTTTAAACCCCAAAAATCCAGTGCTGAGGAATTGTACCAGTGAGCACGAAAATTATACTTCAAACCACAAAAATCCAATGCTCTGGAATTGCATCAGTGAGCAGGAAAAGAACATTTTAACCCCCAAAAATCCAGTGCTCTGGAATTGCATCAGTGAGGAGGAAAAGAACATTTTAACCCCCAAAAATCCAGTGCTCTGGAATTGCATCAGTGAGGAGGAAAAGAACATTTTAACCCCCAAAAATCCAGTGCTCTGGAATTGCATCAGTGGGCAGGAAAAATAAATTTTAACCCCCAAAACCCCAGGGCTGGACTTGGGCATGGTGTGCCCTTGCAGGGTGGGAAATCAGGAGTTGATCAGCCCTGAGATGCAGAAGGAAAAATCCCTGAGCAGCAGGACCAGGTGTGTGGGAGGATTTGGGATTGAATTTTGGGATCCTTTTGCTTTCCACTTCCAGCTTATCTCAGAGTTCCTCTCCCCAAGAGCTTCCTTGGGATATAAAAGTACCTGAAAATGACAAATAAATGTCATTTTCTTTGCTTCCTGGGTCTCCTTTACAGCCAGATAAATCCCTGGGATCTCTGCCCTTGCATTCAAACCCTTTGGAACCTTTTCCATCAGGCCCGTACCCCAAATAAAATCTCCAATTTTTTGCCCCTCTTGTTCCCCAGCCCCAAAAACATCACCCTCCTCCAGAGAGCCCAAATTTATCCATGGGCTGGGATAAAAATGGGCAGCAAATTACAGATGAATAAATTACAGAACAGATGAATAAAGATGAACACAGATGAATAAATGACAGAATTATATTCAATTACAGACAGGAAATCTGCTGCCTTGATTGCAGATTCCACAATGGCTGCTCCTGCTTCCCTGGAAAGAAAATGACTCCCAGGAAATCCAGCTCTTCCCTCTTTTCCAGCTGCTTTTCGTGCCCAGCTATCAGCAGCACGAGGAAACCGAGTGGAAAAATTCAATGTGGCAGCACAATGCATGAAGGCACACGAGCCCCAAACCAAAAATAGCAGGGAGAGGGGAAAAAAAACCTGAAAAGAGCCTTTTTAATGATTCCTTTTCTTTCCAAAAGCTTTGCCCCCGGGCACAGCCACGCTGCTGTTTGTGTGTGGGAGGCAGAGCAGAGTGGGAGAGCTGCTAGTTCTTTATTTTATGTTTCTTTAGTTTGTTATTCCATGGAAAAACTCCTTTCTTGTTGTTGTTTTTTGGCTGTGTTTTCCAAGGGCTGGTGGTGGCCAGAGCCCTGAGCCCTGAGCTCCAGCCTGGATTTCATTTTCCAGGGGTTTGAAGGGGAATTTAGGGCTCTGCTGGGATGCTGGAGGAAAAAAAGGGACAACCCAGCAGTTTTTTAGGAGATTATTCCTGGGATGAAGACAGCCAGAGCCTCAGACTCAAATCCTGATGGTTCCTGCAGGAATTTTGAGGATTGAGGGTGTCCTGTCCTTTTCCTGACAGCAGGACCAGTTCATGGCCCTCCAAACCCCATCCCTGCAGCTCAGGGCTGGGATTTTTCCAGCTTTGGGTGGAATATTTAATGAACCAACCTTTTAAATCCTGATCCCACAAACCTAAAAGTTCCCTGAATAAAATTAGGATTCCAAACCCTTGGTGCCTGATGGTTCATGTCCCTCTAAATCCTGTCCCTGCAGCTCAGGGTTGGGATTTTTCCAGCTTTGGGTGGAATATTTCAGGAACCAGCTTTTAAAATCTTGATCCCACAAACCTAAGAAGTTCCCTGAATAAAATTAGGAATTCAAACTCTTGGTGCCTGATGGTTCCTGCAGGAATTTTGAGGATTGAGGGTGTCCTGTCCTTTTCCTGACAGCAGGACCAGTTCATGGCCCTCCAAACCCCATCCCTGCAGCTCAGGGCTGGGATTTTTCCAACTTTGGGTGGAATATTTCAGGAACCAACTTTTAAAATCTTGATCTCACAAACCTAAGAACTCCCTGACTAAAATGAGGATTCCAAACCCCTGGTGGTGAGAGCTTTGACCACATTCCCAGGTGTGTGGTTAAATAAATCAGCCTCCCAGTGCTGTGCCAGGGAGCACCCTCAGGTCTGCAGGGTTTGCTGCTCTCTGCCCTCCCAAAAATCATTCCAGGACCACATTCCTGAGTCTGGGAACGCCTCCTGCAAGAGGCTGATGTCATTTTTGCCTCAAGAGAGGTGTGGGAATCCCTAAAATCAGGGTTTTGACAGGGAGGCCTGGTGACCTTTGCAGCTGGGCTGGGACAGCTCTGGCTGTCACATCTGCCTGCTGACGTGGAAAGGAAGCAGATCCCAAAATCCTGGAGTGGATTTTTCCTTATCCAAGCAAGGCCTCACATGTGTGGAGGAGCTTTTTGGTGTTCAGAGGCCAAAGGGCTGCTCTGTGTGGGTTTGTGTGAGGTTTTAAGGTCATAATTCAGCACTTCAGACAGCCTGGCAATGGGGTTTGGTGGTGCTGGAAAAAGGAATTTGTGCCTGGTGGGGCTAGATGGAACACTAGTTATCCCTGTGTCAATTAGCACTGCTGTTAATTAACAGAACAGTGCCTCTAAATGAATTTGCTGGGGGTGTCTTCCCAGCCCACCTGAATTTTTCTGTGGTGGAATCATCTCCATCTCTTTTCCCAGCCCTGGAATCCATTCCTGAGGGATTCAGCGCCGAGGTTTTGACCTCCAAGAGGGAATAACGAGTCCCTCAGCCCCTCTGATCCTCACTCACCCCTTCCTGGCCTCCTACCCAATCATCACAAGCCACCAATTAACGATTCCTTGCTGCTAATTAACGATTCCTCCTTGCTGTTCCGTTGCAGGGCAACCATCGATGAGGTGGAGACAGATGTGGTGGAGATCGAGGCCAAGCTCGACAAGGTGAGGGCAGATTGTGGTCTGAGGGGGAGTGATGGAGCCCCTGCTCAGAAATGGGGTCCCTCCAAGTGTCCCCTAAAATCTGAGTCTGTTTCCAGGTGTTAAATTCATGAATTGATGTTTAGCACCCCAGGCTTGTCCCCAGAGCTGGGGCCTGGCAGGTGTGGTGGAGATCGAGGCCAAGGTGAGGGCAGTTTGTGGTCTGAGGGGCACTGCTGGAGCCCCTGCTCGGAAATGAGGTCCCTCCAAGTGTCCCCTAAAATCTGAGCCCATTTCCAGCTCTTAAATTGATGTTTAGCACCCTGTCCGCAGGCCTGGGGCCTGGCAGGGGTGGTGGAGGTCGAGGCCAAGCTCGACAAGATGAGGGCAGATTGTGGCCTGAGGGGGACTGGTCCCTATTTCTGGTCCCTGCTCAGGAATGGGGTCCCTCCAAGTGTCCCCTAAAATCTGAGCTTGTTTCCAGCTCCTAAATTCATGCTTAGGCTTGTCCCCAGGGTTCCTCTGAGCTGGGACAGGAGTTCCAGTCAGTCTGTCCCTTCCTGGGCTGGAATTTACCCCTGTCCTGTCCCAGGGTGGGGTTTTATCCATGTCCTAGGGTAGGATTTTGTCCCTGTCGTTTCCTGGGTTGGATTTTACCCCTGGCCTGGGCTGGGATTTTCCCTGTGTCCTAACCTGGGCTGGGATTTTATCCCTGTCCCGGAGTGGGATTTTATCCCTGTCCTGGGCTGGGATTTTACCTGTGTCCTAATGTGGGCTGGGATTTTATTCCTGTCCCAGGGTGGGATTTCATCCCTCTCCTTTTTGGGTGGGATTTTATCTCTGTCCCTTTCTGGGCTGGGATTTTACCCCTGTCCTTTCCTGGGCTCAGATTTTATCCCTGTCCCAGGGTGGGATTTTATCCCTGTCCTTTTCTGGGCTGGGATTTTATCCCTGTCCTTTCCTGGGTAGGATTTTACCCAGGGTGTGGGACAAAGCCAGGCTGGTCCAAACCCGGTGCTGAGCCCGCATCCGTGTCCCCATGTCCCTGTGTCCATGTCCCCATGTGTGTCCCCATGTGTGTCCCCCCGTGTCCCTGTCCCTGTCCCGTGTGTGTCCCCAGCTGGTGAAGCTGTGCAGTGGCATGCTGGAGGCAGGCAAGGTGTACATCACCACCAACAAACACTTCGTCAGCGGCGTGCGGGACCTGTCCCAGCAGTGCAGGAAGGACGAGATGATCTCGGTGAGCTGGGGGCTGGGGCTGCTCAAAATCCTGCTCATGGGGGCTGGGGCTGCTCAAAATCCTGCTCAGGGGAGCTGGGGCTGCTCAAAATCCTGCTCAGGGGAGCTGGGGCTGCTCAAAATCCTGCTCAGGGGGGCTGGGGCTGCTCAGGTCCCTGCTGCTGGGAATGGATCACAAATCCAAGCCACTCACGCTGCTTAAGCAGCCACTGAAAATGAGATTTGGTGGGAAGTCAGATCAAGATCCATTTAAAATGAGATTTAGAGGGAAATCAGAGCAAGATCCATTTAAAATGAGATTTGTGTTTGGAGGGATGCAGAGAATTTGATAACACCAGGCTGGAAGGTCAGAGTGAGATCCATTTAAAAGAAGATTTGGAGGGAGGTCAGGGTGATCCATTTAAAATGAGATTTGATGAGAGGTCAGGGTGATCCATTTAAAAGGAGATTTGGAGGGAGGTCAGGGTGATCCATTTAAAATGAGATTTGATGAGAGGTCACAATGAGATCCACTCAAAATGAGATTTGCTGGGAGGTCAGAGTGAGATCCATTTAAAATGAGATTTGGAGGGAAATCAAAGTGAGATCCACTCAAAATGAGATTTGGAGGGTGGGATGCAGGCTCAGCAGGCAGTGCTGGAGGCTGTGCAATGTAGGTCAGTGAGCAGCAGGGATCTGGGAGCTGAGCAGCCCACCAGGCTTATTTTATTTTATTTTATACAAAATGAGATTTGGAGGGTGGGATGCAGGCTCAGCAGGCAGTGCTGGAGGCTGTGCAATGTAGGTCAGTGAGCAGCAGGGATCTGGGAGCTGAGCAGCCCACCAGGCTTATTTTATTTTATTTTATTTTATATTTTATTTTATATTTTATTTTATATTTTATTTTATATTTTATTTTGTATTGTATTTTACTTCATTTTTATTCTATTGTATTTTATTGGTTTTTTTGTTTTTTTTTTTTTCCAGGAGTGCCTGGATAAATTTGGGGACAGCCTGCAGGAAATGATCAATTATCACATGGTAAGGAGCTGCTTCCTGCTGTCCCCTTGGGTGCTGCTGGCATTGCTGGTGTCCCCTGTGCTTTTCACAAAGAGAGGTCCTGCAAGGGTGAGAAAAAAGGAAGAGAATTCACCAAAATCTTGCACTCCAGAATTTTTTTTCTTCCTTTTGGGTAGCAAAAGGGGGACACACAGAGCCCTGAGGAGGATTTTGGCTGGTAACAAATATTTTTGGGATAGATTTGGGAGCCTGGCATCCAAAATTAATGACATCAAGAGTCAGCCCTGCTGTGAGCTGCAGGATTTTAACACCCAGGCTTTGGTAATCCTGCCCTGAGAATTAAATCTCCACACACAGAGCCCCAGGAGGTCAAATCCGCCCCAAACCTCCCCAAAAAAAGGCAGTGCCAGCCCCTGGGTGCTCCAGAGCTGCACTTTGGGGTCAGGCTGGGAGGAGAGGCTGCAGCAGAGGTGATTTTGGCTGGTAAAAAATCTTTTTGGGATAGATTTGGGATAGATTTGGGAGCCTGGCATCCAAAATTAATGACATCAGGTGAGGGTGATGGGGTGGAGGGGTCCAGCCCTGCTCTGTGCTGATGGATTTTAACACCCAGGACTGCTCTGAGAATTAAATCCCCACAAACAAAACCCTAGGAGGTCAGATCTGCCCTTTGTGCACCCCAAAAAAAGGCAGTGCCTGCCCCTGGGTGCTCCAGAGCTGCACTTTGGGGTCAGGCTGGGAGGAGAGGCTGCAGCAAAAATTATTTGGCTGGTAAAAAACCTTTTTGGGATAGATTTGGGAGCCTGGCATACAAAATTAATGACATCAAGAGTCAGCCCTGCTGTGAGCTGCAGGATTTTAACACCCAGGACTGCCCTGAGAATTAAATCCATACAAACAGAGCCCCAGGAGGTCAGATCTGCCCTTTGTGCACCCCAAAAAAGCTCTGGGTGCTCCAGAGCTGCATTTTTGGGGTCAGGCTGGGAGGAGAGGCTGCAGCAGAGGTGATTTTGGCTGGTAAAAAACCTTTTTGGGGCAGATTCTGGCATCCAGAATTAGTGACCTGAGGTGATGGTGTGGAGGGATCAGACTTGGAGCCCAGCCCTGCTCTGTGCTGATGGATTTTAACACCCAGGACTGTCCTGACAATTAAATCCACACAAACAGAACCCCAGGAGGTCAAATTTGCCCTTTGTGCACCCCAAAAAAAGGCAGTGCCAGCCCCTGGGTGCTCCAGAGCTGCACTTTGGGGTCGGGCTGGGAGGAGAGGCTGCAGCAGAGGTGATTTTGGCTGGTAAAAAATCTTTTTGGGATAGATTTGGGATAGATTTGGGAGCCTGGCATCCAAAATTAATGACATCAAGAGTCAGCCCTGCTGTGAGCTGCAGGATTTTAACACCCAGGACTGCCCTGAGAATTAAATCCCCACAAACAGAGCCCCAGGAGGTCAAATCCACCCCAAACCTCCCCAAAAAAGCTCTGGGTGCTCCAGAGCTGCACTTTGGGGTCAGGCTGGGAGGAGAGGCTGCAGCAGAGGTGATTTAAAGTGCAGGAGCTGCACGGGTGCCTCTGCCTGACCCACTTGGGGCCAGCAGGGCCCTGTCAGAGCCCATCAGGCTCTGAAATGCAACCAAAGCGCTGCAGCTGCAGGAGAAGCTGCAGCAAGTCCCTGCTGGCATCTCGGGATGGAGAGGTTTTCACAAGGGAAAAATCCTCAGGGGATTCTGAGGGTTCATGTGAGCTCTGCACGTGCAGGGCTGTGGGGCTGGGAGTGATAAATCAGTGGGAATGAAGAATATTTATTCACTTTGGGAGTGGATAAATCAGTGGAAAATCAGTGTTTTTGGGGAAAAGCAAGGAAAATGCTGATTTTCTTCCATAAAATCTTCCTGCCACTGCACCTTCTGCTGTTTCATGAGGCAGGTGGAGAGGGTTTTTCCCAGGAAAAATCCTCAGGGGATTCTGAGGGTTCATGTGAGCTCTGCACGTGCAGGGCTGTGGGGTTGGGAGTGGATAAATCAGTGGGAATGAAGATTATTTATTCACTTTGGGAGTGGATAAATGAGTGGAAAATCAGTGTTTTTGAGAAAATCCTGATTTTCTTTCACAAAACTTTCATTTTTGAAGTTCTGAGGAGCTCCCCCTCCATCCCAGGGATCCCATCCTTGGAAAAAGCTTCCAAATTTAGGTGCTAGAAGAACATAAATATAACATAAATACATATATAAATAAGTGTGACATAAATATAAATATAAATATAAATATAAATATAAATATAAATATAAATATAAATATAAATATAAATATAAATATAAATATAAATATAATAGAAACCTAAATACAAACACAAATAATTATAAATATAGTTATAAATATAATTATAAATGTAAGTATAAATAGAAATACAAATATAAATTAAATATAAACATAAATACAAGCACTAATAATTATAAATATAATTATAAATATAAACATAAATATATATATAAATGGAAGTATAAATAGAAATACAAATATAAATGAAATATAAGCATAAATACAAATGAATATAACTATAAACATGTATAAATATAAATGCAAATATATGTAAATGAAGGGGCTTGGAAGGATTTATTTTGCACTTGAAGAGGGTAAAATGTGGGGATTTGTAAGAACCCAGCTCAGGAGCTCTCAGGAATTCCCAGCGAGGTTCGGGCTCTTCCTTCCGTCCTCCCTCCCTTCCCTGGGAGCAGCCTGAGGGTCCAGTGCCCTCCTCTGGCAGCACCGGGAATGTGGGAGGGGATGGAGCCGGGAAAATGGGAATTTGGGATGGGATGGACACAGAAAATGGGAATTTGGGAGGGGATGGACACAGAAAATGGGAATTTGGGAGGGGATGGACACAGAAAACTGGGAATTTGGGATGGGATGGGATGGGATGGGATGGATCCCGGAAAACTGGGAATTCAGGATGGGGTGGACCCAGGAAAACAAGAATTCAGGATAGGATGGACACAGAAAACTGGGAATTTGGGATGGGATGGATCCTGCAAAACCAGAAATTCGGGATTGACCCCTCACAGCAGGGATGTGAAGGGAACTGCTCCTGGATGAGGAATTCTGAAGGAATTCTGAGGAGTTCTGCAGGAATTCTGAGGAGTTCTGAGGAGTTCTGCAGGAATTCTGAGGAGTTCTGCAGGAATTCTGAGGAGTTCTGCAGGAATTCTGCCCCTGGGAATGCTGCAGCTGTGGGGGAAGGTTCTTCTTTCCTCTGCCAGGCACTAAATAATGAACCCCACAAAGCCCAGGGGGTTTTGAGTCCCTCACACTGAAGGTCTCCAAGAGTGCTCATGAATTTTGCGACTCCTCAACATTCCCATGCTGCAAAGGAATTTATATTTTACCCCTTCTTCAAAATAATTTTTCCTCCATTTTCAAAATAATTGATATATTTTCTCCTTTTTCAAAATAATTGATTTTTTCCCCCTCCTCTCTTCCAGATCCTGTTTGACCAGGCCCAGAGGTCAGTCCGGCAGCAGCTGCACAATTTTGTCAAAGAGTGAGTATTTAGTATTTTTTTTTTTTAATTTTTTTCCTTTTGATTTTCAGCTTCCTGAGCTTCCCATTCCACCTGTCCTGGGTGTGCAGGGGAGCAGAACCAGAACCTCCCTGCAGGGCTGGTCCACCAGGAAAAACCCATCCCAAAATCCATCTGCAGAGCTGATCCTGCAGGATAAACCCATCCCAAAATTCAGATCCTGCAGGCCAGACCCATCCCAAAATCCATCTGCAGAGCTGATCCTGCAGGATAAACCCATCCCAAAGTTCAGATCCCTGCAGGGCTGATTCTCCAGGATAAACTCATCCCAAAATTCAGATCCTGCAGGCCAAACCCATCCCAAAATCCATCTGCAGAGTTGATCCTGCAGGATAAACTCATCCCAAAATCCATCTGCAGGGCTGATCCTCCAGGATGAACATCCCAAAATCCTTTTGCAGAGCTGATCCTTCAGGCCAAACCCATCCCAAAATCCATCTCCAGGGTTGATCCTGCAGGATAAACCCATCCCAAAATTCAGATCCTCCAGGATAAACTCATCCCAAAATCCATCTGCAGGGCTGATCCTCCAGGATGAACATCCCAAAATCCTTTTGCAGAGCTGATCCTTCAGGCCAGACCCATCCCAAAGCTCAGATCCCTGCAAGGCTGATTCTCCAGGATAAACTCATCCCAAAATTCAGATCCTGCAGGAAAAACCCACCCCAAAATTCAGATCCCGCAGGACTGATCCTCCAGGATAAACATCTCAAAGTTCAGGTCCCAATAATAATAGTAAATAAAATAAAACCACAAATAATAAAATGAAACCAATAATAATAATAAAATAAAAAATATCTTTCCCACCTGTCTAAAGGAAGACTTGACTGAGGCTGGAATGGACACGCTGAGCTGGTGAATAACGCACCAAAATTATCAAATAAAACCAAAAATAACCACAAAATAACCCCAAAATAATCATAAAATAAACCAAAAAATAACCATAAAATAACAATAATTAAAAAAGAAATAAAATACAAAATATCTTTCCCAACTCTCTAAAGAATGACTCGACTGAGGCTGGAATGGACGCGCTGGGCTGAGCTGGGATCCTGCTGGCACCCACACTTCATTCTCACCTTCTAACCCAGATTTCTCCCAATTTCTCTGTGATTTCTCCCCATTTCTCTCTGATTTCTCCCCATTTCTGGGCCCCAGCGACGTGAGGAAGTTCAAGGAGACCAAGAAGCAGTTCGACAAGGTGCGGGAGGACATGGAGATCTCGCTGGTGAAGAACGCACCAAAACTATCACATAAAACAAAAAATAACCATAAAATAACCACAAAATAGCCAAAAATAACCCCAAAATAATCATTAAAAAAAAAAAAAAAAAAAAAAAAAAAAAAAAAAAAAAAAATCTTATCACTATTTCTGGCATTTGGCCACAAAAAAATCTGAATTAAAGTCCTAGAAACAAATGCACTACAAAACAAAAAAAAAAAAAAAAAAAAAAAAACACCAAACCAAAAAAAAAAAAACAAAAAAAAACACCAAAAAAAACAAAAAAAACCCCAAAAAAAAAATAAAAAAAAAAAAAAAAAAAAAAAAAAAGTAAAATAGAAAATATCTTTCCCAACTGTCTAAAGACTGACGCGACCGAGGCTGGAATGGACGCGCTGGGCTGAGCTGGGATCCTGCTGGCACCCACACTTCATTCTCACCTTCTAACCCCAATTTCTCCCCATTTCTGGGCCCCAGCGACGTGAGGAAGTTCAAGGAGACCAAGAAGCAGTTCGACAAGGTGCGGGAGGACATGGAGATCTCGCTGGTGAAGAACGCGCAGGCGCCGCGCCACAAGCCGCACGAGGTGGAGGAGGCCGCGGGCACGCTGAGCATCACCAGGAAGTGCTTCAGGCACCTGGCCCTGGACTACGTGCTGCAGGTGGGTGCAGCTCGCCCTCTGCCCCCTCGGGTGTCATCATTTTTAGTTTCCAGGTCGGTGTGTGGGTCTGGGTTTCGTATTTAGGGAGGTGATCCTGCTCAAATTCAGGAGTTTCCTGAATTTCCCCATTTTTCCGGAGGTCACCGAGTCCCTCGTGGCTGTTGGGCAGCTCCAGCTGCTCAAATTCAGGATTTTCCTGATTATGGGCACCTCCAGCTGCTCAAATTCAGGATTTTCCTGATTTTGGGCAGCTCCAGCTGCTCAAATTCAGGATTTTCCTGATTTTGGGCACCTCCAGCTGCTCAAATTCAGGATTTTCCTGATTTTGGGCAGCTCCAGCTGCTCAGATTCAGGATTTTCCTGATTTTGGGCACCTCCAGCTGCTCAAATTCAGGATTTTCCTGATTTTGGGCAGCTCCAGCTGCTGAAATTCAGGATTTTCCTGATTTTTCTTTTGTAAAATTTCAATTTAAACCCCACATTAAGCTCCCTTCGCAGAGCAGAGATATTGGATTAGGTTGGTTTGGATTTATATTTATATTTATATTTATATATAAATGTGCATTTCTGGCACCTTTTTACCCCACCACACCCCACCTTGCAGACATTTGCACTGGAATTACTCAGCAATAATTTGGGCTTGATTTCCCAGTGGATTTGGAGCTTCCCAGGCTGGCTTTGCTGCTGTGCTGAGAGGAATATTTTGATTTTTTCCCCCCAGATCAACGTGTTGCAGGCCAAGAAGAAATTTGAGATCCTGGACGCGGTGAGAGCTGCAGGAGAGGAGCCCTGGGGAAAAGAATCCAATTTTGGGGATTTTTGGGGTGCTGCTTTCCCTTCTGTGTGCCCCCAGCACAGTGCAAGGAAGGAGAAGAGGGATAAATTACCTTGGGAAAGTAAAAACGCAGAGCAGAGATATTGGATTAGGTTGGTTTGGGTTTTTTTAATTTAGAGATGGGGTAACTGAGATGTGTTTGAAATATTTTATTTTATTTTCAACCTCGTGAGAAGGGTGAGAGAGTACAGATCTTCTAATTCACACCATCACAATCAGAATTAACTATTTTCTTAATTATTTAGTTATACTAATTTCTAATTTATAATACACAGTAATTATAGGACTAATTTCTTAATTATAAGTGTTTATTGGCTTATCAGTGTTAGTTATACCATGCTGTAAATGCTTTAATTATCTAAAATTACCCTTTTAATCAATCATTTCAATAAGTTTTATTAAATTTTAAAAGTAGAAATAAATTATATTAAATTTTATCGAAATTTTATATAAATATTTAAATAATGTATTATATCTCTATATATAAATATATGTATTTTATATAGAAATTATATATAAATAAATTTTCTATATATAAATATATAGCTTTCCCTTCTGTGTGCCCCCAGCACAGTGCAAGGAAGGAGAAGAGGGATAAATTACCTTGGGAAAGTAAAAAATAAAGAGTTAAACCTAATTTTTTTTTTTGTGGGGAAAAAAGGATGAGGGTTTTTCACCCTGGCCTGATCCAGCTGTTGTTTCTCTCCCAGATGTCATCAAAAAAATCTCAGAACAAATCTTCCATTTCATTCTAAACTTAATCTTACAAACCCAAAATTCAAAACCTTTCAAATCCCAACCCAGATGTCTTTAATTTCATTCAAAACTTCAATTTACAACCCCAAAACTCCAAGATTCCCAATCCCAACCCCAGCTGTTGTTTCTCTCCCCAGATGTCGTCCAAAAAAAAAAAATCTTCTATTTAATTCTAAACTTACAACCCCAAAATTCTAAAACTTTCAAATCCCAACCCAGACATTGTCCAAAAAAAAGTCTCAAACCAAATCTCCCATTAAATTCTAAACTTACAACCCTAAAACTCTAAAAAAATTGGATTTTTGTTGTTTTTCCCCAGATACCATCCAAAATAAAAGTCTCAAACCAAATCTCCCATTAAATTCCAAACTTAGAGCCCTAAAACTCAAAAAAAATGTGGAATTTTCTTGTTTGTCTCCCCAGATATCATCCCAAATAAAAGCCTCAAATAAAACCTCCCATTAAATTCTAAACTTACAGCCCTAAAACCCCCCAAAAAGTGGAATTTTGTTGTTTTTCTCCCCAGATACCATCCAAAATAAAAGTCTCAAACTGAATCTCCAATTAAATTCCAAACTTACAGCCCTAAAACCCCCCAAAAAGTGGAATTTTGTTGTTTTTCTCCCCAGATACCATCCAAAATAAAAGTCTCAAACTGAATCTCCAATTAAATTCCAAACTTACAACCCTAAAACTCAAAAAAAAAAGCAGATTTTTGTTGTTTTTTCCCCAGATGCCATCCAAAAGGTCTCAAACCAAATCTCCCATTAAATCCTAAACTTAGAACCCTAAAACTCAAAAAAAATTGGATTTTTGTTGTTTCTCTCCCCAGATATCATCCCAAATAAAAGTCTCAAACCAAATCTCCCATTAAATTCCAAACTTACAGCCCTAAAACCCCCAAAAAGTGGATTTTTGTTGTTTCTCTCCCCAGATATCATCCCAAATAAAAGTCTCAAACCAAATCTCCCATTAAATTCCAAACTTACAGCCCTAAAACCCCCAAAAAGTGGATTTTTGTTGTTTCTCTCCCCAAATATCATCCTAAATAAAAGCCTCAAACCAAACCTCCCATTAAATTCCAAACTTACAGCCCCAAAACTCCCCAAAAAAGCGGATTTTTGTTGCTTTTCTCCCCAGATGCCATCCCAAATAAAAGTCTCAGACCAAACCTCCCATTAAATTCCAAACTTACAGCCCCAAAACCCCCAAAAAATTGGATTTTTGTGGTTTCTCCCCAGATGCTGTCCTTCATGCACGCCCAGTTCACCTTCTTCCAGCAGGGCTACAGCCTCCTGCACGAGCTCGACCCCTACATGAAGAAACTGGCCACCGAGGTGAGGGGGGCCCGAACCCCAAAGGGATTTGGGGTCCCCCTGTCCTGCCAGCTGTGCCCCCCGGGCAGGGCACACCCAGAGCTGCTCCTGGGGGGGCTGGGGGAGAGGGTGCCCCCCCACAGCTGCCTTTTTGCCCCTTTTTGCCCCCTTTTTACCTGCTTTCTGCCTCTTTTTTACCTCCCTTTTGCCCCTTTTTGCCCCTTTTTGCCTCTTTTTTACCTCCTTTTTGTCCATTTTTGCCCCTTTTTTTCCCTTCTTCCTTCTTTTTCCCCCTTTTTGCCTCTTTTTGGCCTCCTTTTTGCCCCTTTTTCCTCCTTTTTGCCCCCTTTTGCCCCTTTTTGCCTCTTTTTTACCTCTTTTTTACCTCCTTTTTGCCCCTTTTTGTCCCTTTTTTGCCTCTTTTTTACCTCCTTTTTCCTCCTTTTTGCCTCTTTTTTCCCTCCTTTTTGCCCCTTTTTGCCCCTTTTTTACCTCCTTTTTGTCTCTTTTTTACCTCATTTTTGCCTTCTTTTTCCCCCTTTTTGCCTCTTTTTTACCTCCTTTTTGTCCCTTTTTTGCCTTCTTTTCTCCCTTCTTTTTCCCCCTTTTTGCCTCCTTTTTGCCCCTTTTTTGCCTCCTTTTTTTCCTTCTTTTCTCCCTTCTTTTTCCCCCTTTTTGCCTCTTTTTTGCCTCCTTTTTACCTCCTTTTTGCCCCTTTTTACCTTTTTTACCTCCTTTTTGCCCATTTTTACCTCCTTTTTACCACCTTTTTGCCTCCTTTTTGCCCCCTTTTGGCTCTTTTTTACCTCTTTTCCCCCTCCTTTTTGCCTCCTTTTCCCCCTCTTTTCCCCCTCTTTTTTCCTCCTCCTTTTTGCCCCTTTTTGCCTATTTTCCCCCTAATTTTGTCCCTTTTTTACTGCTTTCTTGCCTCCTTTTTCTCTTCTTTTTGTTTCCTTTTCATCTCTTTCTTGCCTCCTTCTTGCCCCCTTTTCCCCTCCTTTTGCCCCTTTTCCCCCTTCTTTTCAACCTTTTTGCCTCCTTCTTGCCCCCTTTTTGCCTCATTTTTCCTCCTTTTTCCCTCATTTCCACCTATTTTTTTGCCTTTCCTTCCCTCCTTTTCCCCTCATTTTTCACCTCCTTTTTCTCTCTTTTCCCTCCTTTTTTCCTTCATTTTTCCCTCTTTTCTCCTCCTTTTCCCCTCATTTTTCACCTCCTTTTTCTCTCTTTTCCCTCCTTTTTTCCTTCATTTTTCCCTCTTTTCTCCTCCTTTTCCCCTCATTTTTCACCTCCTTTTTCTCTCTTTTCCCTCCTTTTTTCCTTCTTTTCTCCTCCTTTTCCCCTCCTTTCCCCATCCTTTCCCCCTCCTTTTCCCCTCCTTTCCCCTTCATTTTTCTCTCGTTTTCCCCTCTTTTTTGCCCCTTTTCCCCTTTTTTCTGCCCAGGATGTCTCTGTCCCACCCCATCCTCTCCCCCTGATTTTCCCTCTGTTGTTTTTCCCAGCTGGACCAGCTGGTGATCGACTCAGCCGTGGAGAAGAGAGAGATGGAGCACAAGCACGCCCTGATCCAGCAGAGGGTGAGCCCCAAATTCCTCATTTTCCTGCAAATTCCAAATTTTCCTGACTTTTCTGGATGTCCCTCATGCCTACAGGGCAGCTCCAGGTGCCTCAAAATCAGGATTTTCCTGATTTCCCTGATTTTTCTGGATGTCCTTGAGTCCCTCATGTCTGTAGGACAGCTCCAAATGCCTCAAAATCAGGATTTTCCTGATTTCCCTGATTTTTCTGGATGTCCTTGAGTCCCTCATGTCTGTAGGACAGCTCCAAATGCCTCAAAATCAGGATTTTCCTGATTTCCCTGATTTTTCTGGATGTCCTTGAGTCCCTCATGTCTGTAGGACAGCTCCAAATGCCTCAAAATCAGGATTTTCCTGATTTTCCTGACCTTTTCTTTTTTAAAATTTAAATCCTACATTTAATATTTAACTCAAAATAAAATGTTTAAAGCAGAATTTAAATAGAATAAATTTCTTTTTATTCTCACAAGAGAACCTGAGGCATCTCAGGTTTTCCACCCTTGGCCACCTGAAGGTTGGGAATAAATAATTAATTATTATTATTAATAATAAAATTAATAAACTTATTTATTTTTCTTTCTCTCCTCTTCTCCCTGCATTGCTGCCTGGCCCTGCAGACCCTCCTGCAGGTGAGTTCCCACCTGGATCTCCACCCTGATCCCAGGGATCCTGTCACAATCCTGCCCAAAACTTTGGGATTTTTGGCACATTTGTCCCTTTTCCTTGTTTTATTAACCCCTCTCCACCCTGATCTCAGAAATCCTGCCCAAAACTTTGGGATTTTGCAGATTTCTCTCTTTTTCTTGTTTTATTAACCCCTTTCCACCCTGATCCCAGGGATCCTCTCAGAAATCCTGCCCAAAACTTTGGGATTTTTGGCACATTTGTCCCTTTTCCTTGTTTCATTAATCCCTCTCCAGCCTGATCTCAGAAATCCTGCCCAAACTTTGGGATTTTGGCAGATTCCTCTCCTTTTCTTGTTTTATTAATCTCTCTTCACCCTGATCCCAGGGATCCTCTCAGAAATCCTGTCCAAAACTTTGGGATTTTGGCAGATTTATCTCCTTTTCATATTTTATTAGAGTATCTCCACCCTGATCCCAGAAATCCTGCCCAAACTTTGGGATTTTGCAGATTTGTCCCTTTTTCTTGGTTTATTAACCCCTCTCCACCCTGTTCCTGGGGATCCTGTCAGAAATCCTGCCCAAACTTTGGGATTTTGGCAGATTTCTCTCTTTTTCTTGTTTTATTAACCCCTCTCCACCCTGATCCCAGGGATCCTGTCAGAATCCAGTCCCAAACTTTGGGATTTTGCAGATTTGTCCCTTTTTCTTGTTTTATTAAAGCATTTCCACCCTGATCCCGGGGTTCCTCTCAGAAATCCTGCCCAGACTTTGGGATTTAGGAGGACAAATCCATGGATCCTGCCACTGTGAGTCTCTTTCCCTCCCCCAGGACTTCTCCTACGACGACCCCAAGGTGGAGTTCAACGTGGATGCCCCCAACGGGGTGGTGATGGAAGGTTACCTCTTCAAGAGAGCCAGCAACGCCTTCAAAACCTGGAACAGGTGAGAAACAATCCCAAATCCTCCTTCCAGTTCACTGAAATAATTCCATTTCCTCCTGATTTTGGGGCACACTTCCCTGCCAGTGAGATCTCAGCATCACTGCAAGGGTTTGGAGCTGAGGAGTTAAAAATGACTCATTAAAATAATTTAAAATCATTAAAATCAGGTTGGTTTGAGAGGATTTTTTGTAGTTTTAGTGGTTTTTACAATGGGATCATGACCAGGATCCTCCCTGCTTGTCCTGGAGGGAGCAGCAGCCTCTTCCTGCTTTTCCTGACCTCTGAATAACATCAGCTCCAAGGTTTTCCCTGCCCTCAAATCCCAGATTTGTCCCAAAATCCTCCCCCAGCCCAGTCCCAGGTGGGCAGCTCCATCCCTGTTTTCATTCCCTTTTTCTTTCCTATTTTTTTTTCCATTTTCCCCATTTTTTTCCATTTTTCCCCAGCTTTTTTCCCCCACTCCTGAGTGTCCATTTCCACCTGGACCCACTGGCACCAGGGAGCCTGAGGGACAAGGAAGGCACCAAATTTCCCTGGAATTCCCTTCCCCTCCCTCCTCAGCACCAGGGGAAGCTTCCAAGAGAAGGAATTCTTCAAAAAACTCAAATTCCAAACCTTTTTGGAAAGGAAACACCCCAATCTTATGGGATTCATTCATTTTTAAATTAATTTATTTTTTTTCCATGCAAATAAAGGCATTTTCTCTGCATAAACAGTCCATTAAAGCATTTTTAATTAATTTATTTATTAATTTATTTTATTTAATTTATTTATTCCAAAGCCTAATGAAAATTGGGATTTTTAGTGGGGAAGTGCTGATGTCTGTCCGTGTGTCTGTCCCCCTCAGGAGGTGGTTTTCCATCCAGAACAGCCAGCTGGTCTACCAGAAGAAGCTAAAGGTCAGTGAGGCTGCCCCAGGTGACAGCAGGGCATCAACCAAGGGGTTAATTAATTAATTAATTGGTTCATTAACGAACTGCTTGGCTGGGGAGGGAGGAGGAGGGGTTTGGATCAGAGGGACAGCAAGGCCACGAGTTGCTCCAGGGATGGAAAAGGGCAGCAAAGATTTATTAAATAATTATTTAGTAAGTAATTCTTTATTAAATAATTATTCATTAAAGATCTATTTATTAAATAGCTATGTATTTATGAAATAATTATTCATTAAATATTTTAAATAATAATTTATTGAGTAATTATTCATTCTCTATTAAATAATAACTCATTAATTATTTATTAACTATTTTTATTCAATTTTTATGTACTAAATAATTATTTATTAAGCAATTAAGCCCCCAGTAAAACCTGATGCTTTGTGTGTGTGACCCCACAAAATCCCTTCCTGTGGCCCTGGAGGTTTGGGGTTTGGGGAGGAGTTTGAGGGGTTTAGGGAGGAGTTTGGGGGGTTTAGGGAGGAGTTTGGGGTTTGGGAAGGAGTTTTGGGGGTTTAGGGAGGAGTTTGGGGGGTTTAGGGAGGAGTTTTAGGGGTTTAGGGAGGAGTTTGGAGCATTTGAGGCAGGAGGGACTTTGGAGGATTTGGGGAGAAATTTGGAAGTTTTGGGTAGGAGGAACTTCAGAGAATTTGGGGCAGGAGGAACTTTGGAGGATTTGGGAAGAATTTTGCACGGTTTGAGGCAGGAGCAACTTTGGAAGTTTTGGGAAGGAATTCGGAGGGTTTGGGCAGGAAGGAATTTGCAGATTTTGGGAAGGAATTTGGAGGATTTGGGAAGGAATTTGTAGGATTTGGGAAGGAATTTGCAGGTCTTGAGGCGGGGGGGACTTTGGAAGTTTTGGGAAGGAATTTGGAGAATCTGGGAAGGAATTGGCAGAGTTTGGGCAGGAGGAACTTTGGAGGATTTGAGAAAGAGTTTGGAGGGTCTGGGCAGGAGTTTCCCAGGTGTGCCCCAGCCCCGGGGGTCCCCCCAAGCCCCTCCAGGCCCTGCTGTGTCCCCAGGACGTGCTGACCGTGGTGGTGGAGGACCTGAGGCTGTGCACGGTCAAGCCCTGCGAGGACATCGAGAGGAGGTTCTGCTTCGAGGTCGTGTCCCCCACCAAGTGAGTCTGGGGCTCCCCAAGGCCCCCTGGGCTCAATTAACTTTATGGAGTTCATTTTTACCTGGAGGATTTGGGGTGGGAGCACCACAACCTTGTGGGGTTCATTTTTACCTGGAGGATTTGGAGTGGGAGCACCCCAACCTTGTGGGGTTAATTTTTACCTGGAGGATTTGGGGTGGGAGCACCCCAACCTTATGGGGTTAATTTTTACCTGGAGGATTTGGGGTGGGAGCACCCCAACCTTATGGGGTTCATTTTTACCTGGAGGATTTGGAGTGGGAGCACCCCAACCTTGTGGGGTTAATTTTTACCTGGAGGATTTGGGGTGGGAGCACCCCAACCTTATGGGGTTAATTTTTACCTGGAGGCTTTGGGGTGGGAGCACCCCAACCTTATGGGGTTAATTTTTACCTGGAGGATTTGGGGTGGGAGCACCCCAACCTTATGGGGTTCATTTTTACCTGGAGGCTTTGGAGTGGGAGCACCACAACCTTATGGGGTTAATTTTTGTCTGAAGGGCTTGAAGAGGGAACACCTCAACCTTTTGGGGTAAATTTTTACCTGGAAGGTTTGGAGAAGGAACAACCCCAACCTTCTGGGGTAAATTTTTTCCCTGAAAAGTTTGGAGTGAGAACACCCCGAGCTCGTAGGGTTAAGTTTTAACCATAAGCTTTGGAGTGGGAACACCTCAACTTTGTGGGGTAAACTTTTGCCTGGAAGGTTTGGAGTGTGAACAACCCCAAACTTGTGGGGTGAATTTTTACCTGGAAGGTTTGGAGTGGGAACAACCCCAACTTTGTGGGGTAAATTTTTACCTGGGAGCTTTGGGGTGTGAACAGCCCCAGCGTTATGGGGTAAATTTTTACCTGGAAGCTTCAGAGTGTGAACAGCCCCAGTGTTATGGGGTAAATTTTTACCTGGGAGCTTTGGGGTGTGAACAGCCCCAGCGTTATGGGGTAAATTTTTGCCCCACTGCAATCCCCGTGCTGAGGATGAAGAGGAGCAGCCCACCCCAAAGCCTGGCGGTGTTTTTGGCTCTCGGGTGTGAACAGCCCCAGCGTTATGGGGTAAATTTTTACCTGGAAGCTTCAGAGTGTGAACAGCCCCAGTGTTATGGGGTAAATTTTTGCCCCGCTGCAATCCCCGTGCTGAGGATGAAGAGGAGCAGCCCACCCCAAAGCCTGGCGGTGTTTTTGGCCCTCCCCACCCCGTTCCCACCCCGTTCCCACCCCGTTCCACCCCGTTCCCTGCTGCTGCAGGAGCTGCATGCTGCAGGCTGACTCGGAGAAGCTGCGGCAGGCCTGGATCCAGGCTGTGCAAGCCAGCATCGCCTCCGCCTACCGCGAGAGCCCCGACTGCTACTACCTCGAGGTGAGGCTGGGAACAGGGCTGGAGCTGCTCCTTCTGCACACTGTGACAGACTTTACAGCTCGGGAAAGAGGGGGAGATGTGGCAGATGGAGTTGTAAAGAATTCTTAAAACTTCTTTTTACAGTTCAAGAAAAATGGGGAGATATTGCAATGGGGTTGTAAAGAATTCTTGAAACTGTTCTTTTTACAGTTCAAGAAAAATGGGGAGATGTGGGAAATGGAGTTGTAAAGAATTCTTAAAACTGTTCTTTTTACAGACTTTTTAAAAGTTTTTATAGTTCAGAAAAGAGGGGGAGATGTGGGAGATGGAGTTGTAAAGAATTCTTAAAACTCTCCTCTTTACAGTTAAAGAAAAAGGGGGAGATGTGGGAAATGGATTTGTAAATAATCCTAAAAACTGTTCTTATTACAGTTCAGGAAAAAGGGGGAGATGTGGGAAATGGATTTGTAAAGAATTCTCAAAACCTGGCAGGAAGCTCACACAGTCTTGTACATGTATATGCAAACACTGAGATAAAATTTGTAACATAGTGTAACAAAAACTAATAAGCCAAAAAACCACTTACAATATATTGTAATTAAAAAATAATTAGCTTCTAGTTGTGATAACATAAATGACAACATCTGTATTGTCTCCCCCTTCACATAAGACTAAAAATAAACGTTTTCCAAACACCTCTCAGTTGCCCCATCTCAAAATCAAAAAAGAACTTCATCCAACACTCAGGTGTCACCCCCTGCTTTCGAGCCGCCCCGAGGCACCAAAGCGAGCCGAGTTTGCCCTCCTCGGGGTGTGCTGGGGGTGCCATCTCCTGATTTCCTGCTTTTCCCCGCAGAGGCTGGACAGGACAGCCTCCCCCTCCACCAGCAGCATCGACTCGGCCACGGATGCGCGGGAGCGCGGCGGGAAGGGGGAGACGATCCTGCAGAGGGTGCAGAGCGTCCCCGGCAACGAGCAGTGCTGCGACTGCGGGCAGGCGGACCCGCGCTGGGCCAGCATCAACCTGGGCGTGCTGCTGTGCATCGAGTGCTCCGGCATCCACAGGTGCTGCGGGTCCTGGGGAGCAGGGGGAATGGGGGGCGGGATCCTGGGGGAAATCCTGGGGAAAATGGGCAGGGATGGAGGGCGGGATCCTGGGGGAAATCCCGGGGAAAATGGGCAGGGATGGAGGGTGGGATCCTGGGAAAGCAGGGGGAATGGGGGGATGGAGGGCGGGATCCTGGGGAAAATCCTAGGGAATGGGGAGGGATGGAGGGCGGGATCCTGGGGATGGAGGGTGGGATCCCAGGGGAAAATCCCTGGGAAAATGGGCAGGGATGGAGGGCGGGATCCCGGGGGGAAATCCCTGGGAAAATGGGCAGGGATGGAGGGCGGGATCCTGGGGATGGAGGGCGGGATCCCGGGGGGAAATCACAGGGAAATGGGCAGGGATAGAGGGCAGGATCCCAGGGAAAAATCCTGGGAAATGGGCAGGAGTGAAGGGCAGGATCTCAGGGAAAATCATGGGAAAAATGGGCACGGATGGAGGGCGGGATCCTGGGGAAAAATCCCAGGGAAAATGGGCAGGGATGGAGGGTTGGATCCTGGGGATGGAGGACAGGATCCTGGGGGAAAATCCTGGGGAAAATGGCTGGGGATGGAGAGCAGGATTCTGGGGAAGTGGGCAGGGATGGAGGGCAGGATCCCAGGGGAAATGGGCAGGGGTGAAGGCTTCTGGGGAAATGGGAAGGGATGGGGGACAGGATTCCAGGAAAAAATCCTGGGAAATGGGCAGGGATAGAGGGCAGGATCCGAGGGAAAAATCCGGGGAAATGGGCAGGGGTGAAGGGCAGGATCTCAGGGAAAATCGTGGGAAAAATGGCTGGGGATGGAGGGTGGGATCCTGGGGAAAAATCCTGGGGAAATGGGCAGGGATGGAGGGCAGGATTCTGGGGAAATCCAGGGGAAAATGGCTGGGGATGGAGGGCAGGATTCTGGGGAAATCAGGGGGAATGGGCAGGGATGGAGGGTGGGATCCTGGGGAAATCACGGGGAATGGGGGGGGATGGAGGGCAGGATTCTGGGGGAAAATGGGCAGGGGTGGAGGGCGGGATCCCAGGGGAAATCCTGGGGAAAATGGGCAGGGATGGAGGGTGGGATCCTGGGGAAAATCCTGGGGAAAATGGCTGGGGATGGAGAGCAGGATTCTGGGGAAGTGGGCAGGGATGGAGGGCAGGATCCCAGGGAAAATGGCAAGGGATGGATGAAAAGATTCCCAGGAAAAATGGCCAGGGATGGGTTAAAAGATTCCCAGGGAAAAATGGCTAGGGATGGAGTGCAGGATTCCAGGAAAAGTGGTGGAGCTGGAATTGCAGAGAGATAATTCAGAGCTGGCCTAACCTCATTAGGGAAATTATGGGTTTGTGGAATTGCAATAATTTGTGGATTTTCTCCCTCTTGGCTGAACAGGAGCCTGGGTGTTCACTGCTCCAAGGTCCGGTCCCTCACGCTGGACTCCTGGGAGCCAGAGCTGCTGAAAGTGAGTGCTGGATTTTCCCTGGGAGAAATGCTGGGAATCCAGGGATTCCCTGGAAAAGGGGGAATTCCTCCCCGGAGCCTTTAATTCCCTCCCTGAATTTCACTTCCAGCTGATGTGTGAGCTGGGCAACAACACCATGAACCAGATTTACGAGGCGCAGTGTGAGGAGCTGGGGCTGAAGAAACCGACAGCAGGGAGCTCCAGGTGAGCCCAAAATCCACGGAAAAGCTTCAGGGATCCCCACAGCAACCCCAAACCCATGGAGAACCGGTTCAGGGGGCTCCAGATTCCTCAGGTCCCCCCACTCACCTGAGCTGGTCTCTCGTGGGGGTCAGTGGGGCATTGGAGTGGGGCTGGGAATTGCAGGATTTACCAGGAACTGCAGGATTTACCCTAAATCTGAGACCTCCCAAACACCTGAAGCACCTGGGGCTCATTCCACTCTCAACCCCCCCTGCACCTTTTGGTTGTGCTTTTGAACAGGAGATTTTTTAAGTTGGAGAAATAGGAATTTTAGGCCTCGGGTGGACAAAAAGCCACAGAGCAGCAGCTCCATTTTCTCATGGCGGCTTTGGGCAAAACCAGTTCCCTCTGGAAAGGCAGGTCCAGAGACCTCAAAATCCCTCATTTTAAAGTCTGAGAAATAGGAATTTTGGGCCTCAGGTGGACAAAACACCCCAGAGGAACAGCTGCCTCCCTCATGGCGGCTTTCGGCAAGCCCAGTTCCCTCAGAAATCTGCAAATGCCTCATTTTAAAGTCTGAGAAACAGGAATTTTGGGCCTCAGGTGGACAAAAGAGCCCAGAGGAACAGCTCCCTCTCCTCATGGCGGCTTTGGGCAAGCCCAGTTCCCACAGAGATCTGCAAATGCCTCATTTTAAAGTCTGAGAAAACGGAATTTTAGGCTTTAGATGGACAAAACACCCCAGAGGAACAGCTGCCTCCCCTCATGGCGGCTTTGGGCAAGCCCAGTTCCCACAGAGATCTGCAAATGCAAAACTCATTTTTGAGTTTGAGAAATAGACATTTTAGGTTTCAGGTGGACAAAACAGCCCAGAGGAGCAGCTCCATCCCCTCATGGCGGCTTTGCCCACATCCCCTAAACTGCCATTGGTGTGCTCCCCCTCAGGCAGGACAAGGAGGCCTGGATCAAGGACAAGTACGTGGAGAAGAAGTTCCTCAGGAAGGTGCTGGGCTGCAAATGCCAAACTCATTTTTCAGTTTGAGAAACAGGAATTTTAGGCCTCAGGTGGACAAAGCCACAGAGCAGCAGCTCCATTTTCTCATGGCGGCTTTGGGCAAACCCAGTTCCCTCAGAGATCTGCAAATGCCTCATTTTAAAGTCTGAGAAAACGGAATTTTAGGCTTTAGATGGACAAAACCCCTTTGCCCAAATCCATGAAGTCTGCATTGGTGTGCTCCCCCCAGGCAGGACAAGGAGGCCTGGATCAAGGACAAGTACGTGGAGAAGAAGTTCCTGAAGAAGCTGCCGGGCGGGGAGGCGCTGGCCGAGGGCGAGCGCAAGCCGCGCCGCTGGTGCGTCAAGAAGTGCCAGAGGCACAGCAGCGGCTGCCGCGCGCCCGCCGCGCGCAGGAAATACCGCCAGGAGCCCGGCGGGGCCTGCCCCGCCATGCTGGCCTCAGGTGGGTGCCAGCCTGCGCTGCGCGGCAAGCCGGCCATGGCAGGGAGGGGAGATGGGGTCAGGAATTAGACGAGGTGATACCTAGATACCACTTATATATATATATATATATTTTATTTTTTTTTAAAATATATATATATTTTAAAAAATATATATTTATATATATAATATTTTTATATATATTTATATATAAATATAAATATTTTAAAATATATATTTTTTAATATATATATACACACACATATATGTACACACACCTATATATACACATATGTATATATATACACATCTATATATGTGATATATGTATGTGTATATATGTGCCTCAGGTGGACAAAGCCACAGAGCAGCAGCTCCATTTTCTCATGGCGGCTTTGGGCAAAACCAGTTCCCTCTGGAAAGGCAGGTCCAGAGACCTCAAAATCCCTCATTTTAAAGTCTGAGAAAACGGAATTTTAGGCTTTAGATGGACAAAACAGCCCAGAGGAACAGCTGCCTCCCCTCATGGCGGCTTTGGGTGAACCCAGTTCCCTCAGAGGGCTGCAAATTCCTCATTTTAGAGTGTGAGAGCTAAGAATTTTAGGCTTTAGATGGACAAAACAGCCCAGAGGAACAGCTGCCTCCCCTCATGGCGGCTTTGGGTGAACCCAGTTCCCTCAGAGGGCTGCAAATTCCTCATTTTAGAGTGTGAGAGCTAAGAATTTTAGGCTTTAGATGGACAAAACCCCTTTGCCCAAATCCATGAAGTCTGCATTGGTGTGCTCCCCCCAGGCAGGACAAGGAGGCCTGGATCAAGGACAAGTACGTGGAGAAGAAGTTCCTGAAGAAGCTGCCGGGCGGGGAGGCGCTGGCCGAGGGCGAGCGCAAGCCGCGCCGCTGGTGCGTCAAGAAGTGCCAGAGGCACAGCAGCGGCTGCCGCGCGCCCGCCGCGCGCAGGAAATACCGCCAGGAGCCCGGCGGGGCCTGCCCCGCCATGCTGGCCTCAGGTGGGTGCCAGCCTGCGCTGCGCGGCAAGCCGGCCATGGCAGGGAGGGGAGATGGGGTCAGGAATTAGACGAGGTGATACCTAGATACCACTTATATATATATATATATATTTTATTTTTTTTTAAAATATATATATATTTTAAAAAATATATATTTATATATATAATATTTTTATATATATTTATATATAAATATAAATATTTTAAAATATATATTTTTTAATATATATATACACACACATATATGTACACACACCTATATATACACATATGTATATATATACACATCTATATATGTGATATATGTATGTGTATATATGTGCATATATATATGTATGTATATGTATATATATGTGTATATATAAAACTATAAATCCTGTAATATAAAAATATTTAAAATATTATGCATTAATATGATTATTATAATAATTAAATAAAATATTAATTATTAGTTAATTAATGGATTTATTATATTAATATATATTATCTATCTTTAAAAAATTTATGAAAAAAGACATTTTTGTAAGTGATGTCTTGTGAGGGGTGACTATATATCACTATTTTATATATTTTTTTATAAACTATGTATTATATTATATATTAATATAATAATATGTTAAATTATGCATGTTACTATAATTATTAATAACTAATGAATTAAGTTAATCAATAATATTTGTTTATTATACTATATTATATTATAATTATATAATTAAATTATATAAAACTAACTTCCCTAATTTCTGACTTGAGTCAGAAATTTCTGATATTTTGGGTTCTTAGGAAGGTTCTGCCTGCTCTGGGATGACTCTGGCCAGAAATTTGTGATATTTTGGGTTCTTAGTAAGGTTCTGTTTGCTCTGGGATATCTCTGGCCAGAAATTTATGATATTTTGGGATCTTAGGAGGGTTCTGGCTACTCTGGGATGACTCTGGCCAGAAATTTGTGATATTTTGGGTTCTTAGTAAGGTTCTGTTTGCTCTGGGATATCTTTGGCCAGAAATTTGTGATATTTTGGGATCTTAGGAGGGTTCTGCCTGCTCTGGGATGTCTCTGGCCAGGATCTGTTCCATTCTGGGCCGTGTGCCCCCAGCCCTGGCCCTGGGAGTGCAGCCCCAGCTGGGGGTGCCCTCCTTTGCTGGCCGTTCATTCTGAATTTCTGGCCAGCAGCAGCCACCCTGGAGAGGAAATTCCGCCGGGATTCTCTCTTCTGCCCCGACGAGCTGGACTCCCTCTTCTCCTACTTCGACACCGGCGCCGGCTCCGGCCCTCGCAGTAAGTGCTGGGAAATGGATTTTTATTTTTTATAGATTTGGGTTTCACCTCTGTGAGAGAGGCTGTGCCTGCCAAGGGCTCTGGCTGCTCGGAGGTGGCTTGGGTTAAAAATCCGTGAGATTTTGGGTTCTTAGGAAGGTTTTGATTGGGATGTTGGTCAGAAATTTGTGAGATTTTGGGTTCTTAGGAAGGTTTTGATTGCTCTGGGATGACCTTGGTCAGAAATTTGTTACATTTTGGGTTCTTAGGAAGGTTTTGATTGGGATGTTGGTCAGAAATTTGTTACATTTTGGGTTCTTAGGAAGGTTTTGCCTGCTCTGGAATGACCTTGGTCAGAAATTTGTTACATTTTGGGTTCTTAGGAGGGTTCTACCTGCTCTGGCATGACTTTGGTCAGAGATTTGTTACATTTTGGGTTCTTAGGAAAGTTCTGCCTGCTCTGGGATGATGTCAGTCAGAATTTTATTACGCTTTTGAGTTCTTAGGAAGAATTCTGTGGGTTCTGTAGATTCTGTGAGTTCTGTGGGTTCTGTGATTCTGTGGGTTCTGTGGGTTCTGTGATTCTGTGGGTTCTGTGATTCTGTGGGTTCTGTGGGTTCTGTGATTCTGTGGTTCTGTGGTTCTGTGGGTTCTGTGGGTTCTGTGATTCTGTGGGTTCTGTGATTCTGTGAATTCTGTGATTCTGTGGGTTCTGTCTCTTGCTGCTGGAGGGGCAGCAGCCGGGCAGGCTGCCTGTGTGCAGGTGTTCAGGTGCCCGTGGTTTGTGTCCTGTTGGCCCCGCAGGTCTGAGCAGTGACAGCGGCCTGGGCGGGAGCACCGACGGCAGCGGCGACGCGCTGGTCTTCGGCTCCGTGGTGGACAGCGTCACCGAGGAAGGTGGGGGGCACTCAGGGGGGCCTGGGTGGCACTGGGGACATGGGTGGCACCAGGCAGGGGGTGGCACCAGGCAGGGGGTGGCACTGGGGGGCATGGGTGGCACAGAGGAAAGTGTGTAGCGCACAGTGAGACACTTTGGGCTGATCCTTTCCCCTTTCCTTTCCCCTCTCTCCTTTTCCCCCTTTCCTTTCCCCCTTTTTCCCTGCCTCCTTTTTTCCCCCTCTTTTTTCCCCCCTTTTTTTTCCCTTTTCTTCCCCTTTTCCCCCCCTTTCCTCCCCCTTTATTTCCCCTTCCCCCTTTCCCCCCCCTTTTTCCCTGTCCTTTTTCCCCACCTTCCCCCCCTTTTGAATGGGCTGGGGTGGGGATTCCAACTGGGAATGGGGCTGGGGTGGGAATTCCAACTGGGAATGGGGCTGGGGTGAAATTCCAACTGGGAATGGGGCTGGGGTGGGGATTCCAACTGGGAATGGGGCTGGGGTGGGAATTCCAACTGGGAATGGGGCTGGGGTGAAATTCCAACTGGGAATGGGTCTGGGGTGGGGATTCCCTTTGGGAGTTGTCTGGTCTGGGTGAACTGCTGTGGAATTCCTTTTGGGAGTTGGGTCTGGGGTTGGGAATTCCCTCTGGGAATGGGTCTGGGGTGGGATTCCCTTTGGGAGTTGGGTCTGGGTGAACTGGGGCGAGGATTCCCTCTGGGAATTGGGGCTGGGGATTCCCTTTCGGAGTTGGGTCTGGGGTGGAACTCCCTCTGGGAGTTGGGTTTGGGTGAAATGGGGTGGGAATTCCCTTTGGGAATTGGGTCTGGTGTAGAAATTCCCTTTGGGAGTTGGGTCTGGGGTGGGAATTCCCTCTGGGAGTTGGGTTTGGGTGAAATGGGGTGGGAATTCCCTTCAGGAATTGGGTCTGGTGTAGAAATTCCCTCTGGGAGTTGGGTTTGGGTGAACTGAGGTGGGAATTCTCTTTGGGAGTTGTCCAGTCTGGCTGAATTGATGTGGAAATTCCCTTCTTGGAGCTCAGGATTGTCCGGTCTTGGTGAATTGACTGGAAATGCTTTGGGAATTGTCCATTCTGTCTGAACTGCGTGGAAATTCCCATTTTTTACCCCATTTTCCCCCTTTCCCAGGGCTCCCTGCTCGCCTGTGAGTTCCTGCTGCAGAACGGGGCCGACGTCAACCAGCGGGACGCGCGGGGCCGGGCGCCGCTGCACCACGCCACCTACCTGGGGCACACCGGGTGGGTGCCACTGCTGCTGCCCCGGAATGCCATCCCCCGGAATGGCATCCCCCCGGAATGCCATCCCCCGGAGTGCCATCCCCTCGGAATGCCATCCCCCCGGAATGCCATCCCCCTGGAATGCCATCCCCCTGGAATGCCATCCCCTGGAGGGCACAGGAAGCCGGGGACAGGAGCAATCCAGCTGGAAAATGTGGATTTTTTGGGTTGTCAGCAGCTCGGGGCTGGCACAGGGCAGGATATTGGGGTGGGGTCTGGTGCCTGGGGAGGGGCTGGGGTGGAATTCCCTGAGGATTTGTGGCTGGGGTGGAATTCCCAGAGGATTTGTGGCTGGGATGGAATTCCCTGAGGATTTGTAGCTGGGATTCCCTGAGGATTTGAGGCTGCCCCATCCCTGGAAGTGCCCAAGGGAAGGTTGGAACAAGGTGGGATAAGGATGATGAGCTGGAATTCTGTTCCTTGGAGCTGGAATTCCGTGCCTCTGGAACTCCTTTCCTGAGGCTCCCTGTCCCCAGGCAGGTGTGCCTGTTCCTGAAGCGAGGGGCTGGAATATGGGAGTTCAGGAATTCAGGAATGTTGTGATTCCTTTCAGGCAGGTGTGCCTGTTCCTGAAGCGCAGGGCTGGCATTTGGGAATTTGGGAATTCAGGAATTGTGTGATCCCTCCCTCCCCAGGCAGGTGTGCCTGTTCCTGAAGCGAGGGGCTGGCATTTGGGAATTTGGGAATTTGGGAATTCAGGAATTCAGGAATGTTTGATCCCTCCCAGGCAGGTGTGCCTGTTCCTGAAGCGCGGGGCCTCCCAGCACTCGCCCGACGCGGACGGGCAGGACCCGCTGAGCATCGCGGTGAGCGCGGCCAACGCCGACATCGTCACCCTGTGAGTGCCACCGGTGCTGGGAAATGCCAGGAACCTCTGGGAAACACTGGGAGACACTGGGAGACACTGCCCAGGGACTGGGAATTGCTGGGAAGGGCTGGGAAATGTCGGGAAGCACTGGGAAATATTGGGAAGTGCTGGACAATGCTGAGAGACACTGCCTGGGGACTGGGGAACTGCCTGGGGACTGGGAAACACTGGGAAATACTGGGAAACAGTGGGAAACACTGCCTGGGGACCAGGGAACACTGGGGAACACTGCCTGGGGACTGGGCAACACTGGGGAGTACTGGGAACGGGGAGACACTGGGAAATACTGGGAACATCGGGAAATGCTGCCTGGGAACTGGGAAACACTGGGAAATACTGGGAACACCAGGAAACGCTACCTGGGAACAGGGAAACACTGGGAAATACTGGGAACATTGGGAAATGCTGCCTGGGGACAGGGAAACACTGGGAAATACTGCCTGGGAAACACTGGGAAATACCGGGAGAGAGTGGGAAACAGTGGGAAACCCTGCCTGGGGACTGGGAACCACTGGGAACACCAGGAAGCACTGCCTGGGGACTGGGAACACCGGGAAGCACTGCCTGGGGACTGGGAACACCAGGAAGCACACCTGGGGACTGGGAACACCAGGAAGCACACCTGGGGACTGGGAACACCAGGAAGCACACCTGGGAGCAGGGAAGCAGCGGGAGCCAGCAGCAGCAGGGGTGGGAGTGCCCGAGCCGTGCCCTGTGCCCCGCAGGCTGCGCCTGGCGCGGATGAACGAGGAGATGCGGGAGGCAGAGGGGCCCCTGGGCCAGCCCGGCCAGTACCCCAGCAACAGCCCCACGGAGCTGCAGTACAGGAAATGCATCCAGGAGTTCATCAGCCTCAACATCGACGAGTGCTAGGGACAGCCCTGGGTGCCGGGGACAGCTCCGGTGCTGGGGACAGCTCCGGTGCTGGGGACAGCTCCAGTGCTGGGGACAGCCCCGAGTGCTGGGGACAGCTCCAGTGCCGGGGACAGCTCCAGTGCTGGGGACAGCTCCGGTGCTGGGGACATTCCCGAGTGCTGGGGACAGCCCCGAGTGCCGGGGACAGCTCCAGTGCCGGGGACAGCTCCAGTGCTGGGGACATTCCCCAGTGCCGGGGACAGCCCCGGGACAGCCCCGAGTGCCAGGGACAGCCCTGGGTGCTGGGGACAGCTCCAGTGCCGGGGGCATTCCCGAGTGCCGGGGGCATTCCCGAGTGCCGGGGACAGCCCCGAGTGCCGGGGACAGCTCCAGTGCTGGGGACAGCCCCGAGTGCCGGGGACATTCCCCAGTGCCGGGGACATTCCCCAGTGCCGGGGACAGCCCCCTGGGGACAGCCCCGGGCCGGCCCCGGCTCCCCGCGCAGCCCCACCCTCGGTGTTTCCCTGCTGGTTGTGATGCCCGCACCCCTCAGGGGGGTTTTCCTTGTGGGGTTTGAGTTCTCATGCTTGACTACTGGATGGTTGGGTTTGTTTTTTTATTTTTGGGGTTTTTTGGTTTTGAGTAGGAGCCTCCCCAGGGTGTGATCGCGGGGGAGTGTGTGGGAGATGAGCTTAGAGATTGAAAAAAACAACAAAACAAAGAAAAAAAAAAAAGGAAAAAAAATTGAAAAAGAGAAGAAAAGGAAAAACCTTCTGTGACCAGGAGAGAGCCGCCAACGCCAGGAGCAGACAAAGCTGTCCCTGAAGAGCTGCCTTGGAATTCCGGCAGGGATCGTGGCCTGGAGCTCTGCCCTGGGGGGACCCGAGGTGCCCTCCAGGCTGGTTTGGGGCAGGGATGCTCCAGAGGCCCAGCAGGACCGGGCTCAGGACCAGGATTGGGATCAGGACCAGGACCGGGATTGGGATCTCTGGCTCCTCACCTTTGCTGCTCTCAGGACTGCACCAGCCACGCTCCCCTGGCTGCTGCCCTGGCTGCTGGGCTGCTCGAAGCCACAGCAGCCCTGCCTCCATCCCACTGCAATTCCCACAAGGATTCCCATCCCACTGGATTCCCAGAAGAGTTCCCATCCTGCTGGATTCCCAGAAGAGTTCCCGTCCTGCAGGAATTCCCAGAAGAGTTCCCATCCTGCAGGATTCCCAGAAGCATTCCCATCCCACTGGAATTCTCAGGATTCCCATCCTGCAGGATTCCCAGAAGGAATCCCACTGGAATTCCTGGAAGCAGCAGTGCTGATCCGTCGCTGGCGATGGGCTCGGGGCAGGGAGGAGAAGCAGCTCCAGCTCCAATGTCACAGAATCCCAGATCCCATGAACCCAGATCCCATTATCCATGATCCCAGATCCCATTATCCATGATCCCAGATCCCATTATCCATTATCCATGACCCCACAATCCCCAGGCTGGAAGTCACCTTCAGGTCCATGGAGTCCACGCCAGCCAAGCCCAGCACCACGAGCCAAACCCCAGTCCTGGCTGCTCCTGGCACAGTTAGGATGGGCTTGGGAGCTGATCCTGCTCCCAAACCCACCCCAAACCCCAGTCCTGGCTGCTCCTGGCACAGTTAGGATGGGCTTGGGAGCTGATCCTGCTCCCAAACCCACCCCAAACCCCAGTCCTGGCTGCTCCTGGCACAGTTAGGATGGGGTTGCAAGTTAATCCTGCTCCTAAACCCCAGTCCTGCAGCCCTGGCCCAGCTGGGCTGGGTTGGGACCCTGAAGCCCCCCGGTCCCTGTGGGACCCCCAGGCCCCCCCGGGCTCTGCAGGACCCCAAATCCTGCCCAGCCCCCCTGGGCTCTGCAGGGAATCCCCTCCCAGTGCTCCCAGTCCGCCCCTGGGGCAGCTCCTGGAGCTTCCCCTGCAGCCTGGACCTGCCACGTGCTGCAGAGCTCCTCACAGCTGAGAAAAAAGGAGAATTTTCAGCATTTGAGGAAAAAGGAGAATGCTCACAGCTGAGAAAAAAGGAGAATTTTCAGCATTTGGAAGTGGAGGAATTTTCACATTTGAGAGCAAAGGAGAATTTTCAGCATTTGAGAAAAAAGGAGAATTTTCACATCTGAGAGTGGAAAATTTTCACCATTTGAGAAAAAAAGAAGAATTTCTTCATTCTTGAGAGTAAAGGAGAATTTTCACCATTTGAGAACAAAGGAGAATTTCTTCACTCTTGAGAGCAAAGGAGAATTTTCACATTGGAGAGTGGAAGATTTTCCCCATTTGAGAAAAAGGAGAATTTTTCATATTTGAGAGTGGAAGATTTTCCCCATTTGAGAAAAAAGGAGAATTTTCACATCTGAGAGTGGAAAATTTTCACCATTTGAGAAAAAAAGAAGAATTTCTTCATTCTTGAGAGCAAAGGAGAATTTTCACATTGGAGAGTGGAAGATTTTCCCCATTTGAGAAAAAGGAGAATTTTTCATATTTGAGAGTGGAAGATTTTCCCCATTTGAGAAAAAAGGAGAATTTTCATATTTGAGACTTGAGAATTTTCACATTTGAGAACAAAAGAGAATTTCTCCACTCTTGGGAGCAAAGGAGAATTTCCACATTTCCCAGTTCCCACCAGGAGGATTTCACCCTCTGCTCCTCTCCTGGATCTCAGCACTGCCACAATTGGAATTTTTTACCTGTGCACAACTCCAAAGTGCTTTTCACCCCCTGCTTTCCCAGCTTTTTCAGGAGCTCAAACCCGAGTGATCCTTTGGAGAGCCGAGCAAAACCACAGCTTCCACTTTTTGGGTCGTTGAATTTCATTTTTTTCTGGGAATTTTGGCACCCTGGAAGCTCAGACTCGCTGCTGAAGTACATGAAGTTGGAAAAAAAAATGTAAATATCGATGCAAAAAAACAAAGCAGCATCTTGCAAGACAATGGATTTATTTAACATTTATTGGTACTTTGAAATATTGGAGTCGATGTATAAAAAACTTGGTGCACTTTTCCTACCTGACAGTATTTGGGGGGGTTTTATGTTCTTTTGTTATGGGTTTTGTGCTGTCTTTTTTAAGCAGTGGAATTGTTTAAGTATTTAATTTATTCTTCTTGATGTGCCCAGAGGACTCGTGCAATTTTTATTCAATACAGTTGGTCTGTATTTCATGGCAGGATTTTTTTCCTTAGTGTTTTTAGGGAATATTTGTCCAAAATTACCTTTTTTTTTTTTTCCCCATCCCAATTTTCCTTTTTCCCACCCCCTCCTTTCCCTTTGTGTTCCCAGCACTGAAAGTTGAGATAAACCCAACACCTGCAATCCCCAAACCAAAACTTTCTCCAGGAAAAAAAACAAAAACACGTTAAGGATGCACTTCTCCCTCTTTCTGTGTTTCTTGCATTTTTATTTCTCCTTGGGGGGTCGTGGGCTCCAAATTTCCATTTGGAGATGGGGAAGGCGTGCAGAAAATTCAATTTTCAGTTTGAAATTTGAGCATTTCCAGGCTCTGAGGGAGGCGAAACAAAAAGAATATTTTGGTTTTTCTGCCTGAAAAGCAGCTGGATTTGTGTTGTACCCACCTGGCTGGAAGATTTGATGCCCTAAATTGGGGGTTTTTTTAAATATTTTTAAATTTTTCTCTATTTTTCCAAGGGGCTGTGAGTGTTTTCTCTTGGATTTAACCACATTTAACAGGAGGAATTAAAAAGCAAAGTCCCCTCAGCCACCAGGATCCTCCATCCTTGGAATTTTTTGGGATCTGGGGGATTTTTCTCTCTTTATTTTTTTATTTATCCAGAGCCAAGTGCCTGGGCTTGGATCCAGCCTGGGCTTGGCTCTGATTCCAGCTGGGATTTTCAGTTTTCCAGGGTTTTTTCAGGTGATTTCAGCCTTGCTGCCTCTGAGCTGGGAAACTTCTTGGATTTTTTTAAAGGAAAAAATTAAAAAAAAAAAAGATTGGAAGATTTGATGCCTTTAACCAAAAATCCAGGGGGCAGAAGCTGAGCTGGGCTGGCACCAAGCAGAATTATCCATTGGAAAATACCTCTGAGATCACAGAATTCATTAATTAATCACCATCCATTAATTACTCACCATCCATTCATGATCTCGCAGCTTCCAGGAGAGAACTGGAGGGAGGATTTGGGGATTGAGGGATCAGGAAATGCCAAAATCAGGGTCAGGAACTGCAAAAATTCTGTGATTTCTGCAAGAAAAACCCGGGAGCTGCTGAAGGAATGCACAGAACTCCACCACGGGGGAAAAAATGGAATTATTGAGGTGCTCACAATTCCTGGTGGAGTTCTGGGGCTTCTCACCATTCCTGCCTTGAGTTTTGGAGGTTTTTAGCAATTCCTGGTTGGAGTTTTGGAGGTTTTTAGCAATTCCTGGTTGGAGTTTTGGAGGTTTTTAGCAATTCCTGGTTGGAGTTTTGGAGGTTTTTAGCAATTCCTGGTTGGAGTTTTGGAGGTTTTTAGCAATTCCTGGTTGGAGTTTTGGAGGTTTTTAGCAATTCCTGGGTTGAATTTTTGAGTTTCTCAACAATTCTTGGGTTGAGTTTTGGGGTTTTGGAGTTCCTCAGCAACTCCTGGTTTGGGTTTTTGGAGTTTCTCACAAATCCTGATTTGAATTTTGGAGTTTTTTAGCAACTCCTGGTTTGAATTTTTGAGCTTTTTAGCAATTCCTGGTTTGACTTTTGGAGTTCTGGAGTTCTTCAGCAATTCCTGGTTTGAATTATTGAGTTTCTCACAATTCTTGGTTGGAGTGTCAGAGTTTTGGAGTTCCTCACCAATTCCTGGTTTGACTTTTGGAGTTCTGGAGCTCCTCAGCAATTCCTGGTTTGAATTTTTGGGTTTCTTACCAATTCCTGGTTGGATTTTTGGGTTCCTCAGCAGCTCCTGGTTTGAATTTTTGGGTTTCTCACCAATTCCTGGTTTGAATTATTGAGTTTCTCACAATTCCTGGTTGGAGTTTTGGAGTTCTGGAGCTCCTCAACAATTCCTGGTTGGATTTTTGAGTTCCTCACTAATTCCTCATTGGAGTTTCAGAGTTTTGGGAGTTCCTCAGCAGCTCCTGGTTGGATTTTTGGGTTCCTCACCAATTCCTGGTTGGATTTTTGAGTTTTTTAGCAATTCCTGGTTTAGATTTTTGGGTTCCTCACCAATTCCTGGTTGGATTTTTGAGTTTTTTAGCAATTCCTGGTTTAGATTTTTGGGTTCCTCAGCAGCTCCTGGTTGGATTTTTGAGTTTTTTAGCAATTCCTGGTTTAGATTTTTGGGTTCCTCACCAATTCCTGGTTGGATTTTTGGGTTTTTTAGCACTTCCTGGTTTGAACTTTTGGGTTCCTGCCAGCCCTGCTGTCCCTGTGCGGGCAGAGGGGCCGGGGGTGGCCCCGAGCGCTGGGGCAGGGTCAGGGGGGAACAGCGGGACTTGGGGCTCCCAGGGGGGTTGGGATGTCCCTGTCCCTGTCCCTGTCCCTGTCCCCAGGGCCACCTGGGAACGGCCTCCTCCGGCTGCTGGGGGGCTGCGCCCGGAATTCCCACCGGGAATGAGCCTGGGGGGAGGGGACAGCGGCAGGGGACACCTGGGGGGACCTGGGCACACCTGGGGGGGACACCTGGGGGGACACCTGGGGACACCTGGGGGGGACAGCTGGGGGGACCTGGGGACAGCTGGGCTGCCACGGCCGCGTGTCCCTACAGCGGGGACAGGGCTGGGGACAGGGACACAGGGCCTGGGGCCACCACGGCGACAGGGAGGGGTCCTCTGGCCACCTCAGAGAATTTTTGGCCACCTCAGAAGTCGTTGGCCAGGCCAGAAGCTCATTTTTGGTTATCTTCGATGGCTTTTGGCCATCTCTGACATTTTTTTGGCCAGCTCAGAGGATTTTTGGCCATCTTAGAAGATTCTGGCCAGGCCAGAAGCCCTTTTTGGCCATCTCAGAGATGTTTTTTTGGCCAGCTGAGGAGTTTTTGGCCATCTCAGTGATCTTTTTGGCCAGCTGAGGAGATTTTGGCCATCTCAGAGATTTTTTTTGGCCAGCTCAGAGGGTTTTGGCCACCTGGGAGGTTTCTTGGCCAGGCCAGAATCCCTTTTTGGTTATCATCTTAGATGATTTTTGGCCATCTCTGACATTTTTTGGCCATCTCAAAGGTTTTTTGACCATCTCAAGAGGATTTTTTTGCCATCTCCGAGGTTTTTGGCCATCTCAGAATCCCTTTTTTGGTTATCTCAGATGTTTTTTGGCCATCTCCAGGTTTCGGGCAGCCCCAGGCTCTGCCCTGCTGTAAATAAAATTCATTCCCCACCCTGCTCTGCTCCCTCCCCGCTCTTTGCTCCAGGATTTTTTAACCCTTTCCTCCCTGCACCCCTGGAAGTTCAGCTTTTCTCTGTAATCTCCTCTGTACAATCCCAAGGCTCTTTCTTGTGCTGCCTTTCCCCCTCTGCCTTCTCTGAAGCACTCTTAATAAAAACTGGATAAAAACTGGATAAAAACTCCTTCCCTCCTCCTCCTCAGCTCGGTTTCTTGCTGGATTCACCAAAATCTGCATTTTTAACCCCTTTTCCTTCTCCAGGCTGAGCTGTGGGGCACTGAATGGCACCCAAAAATCTGCTTTTAAAAAAAAATCAAAATCACTTTTCAGGGCATTTTATTATTTAAAAATAATTTTAAAAAACGAAGTTTGTGTGTTCCAAGGGAGTGAAATGCTCCTGTGCCAACACCCCCATCAAAAATAAAGGTTTTATTCTTTATTTATGTACAGATAAATTAACAATAATTAACAAATATTAACAAATATTAACAAAAATTAACAAATATTAACATGATCTCTGTTATCTGCAGTAAACCCCAGCATTCCACAGGAATCAGAGGATTTTTCTGGGACCTAAAGAATTCCCAATCCTGGTTTTTTGCTCTTTATTTCCCTCTGGAAGAGTCGGACTCGGTGGGAATTACCCAGAAATAAAAAAGCAGCAGGAATTCCAGAGGGAAGGAGGGGCTGGGAATTCCAGGGGGGGGGTTGGGAATTCTGGGTGGGCTTTGGGAATTCCAGGGGGGGTTGGGAATTCCAGGAGGTTTTTGGGAATTCCAGGGGGGCTTCGNNNGGGGGGTTTGGGAATTCCGGGGGGGGTTGGGAATTCCAGCTGGAATTAAAGCCCAGAGGTTTGGGAATTCCAGGAGGGGTTTGGGAATTCCAGGAGGTTTTTGGGAATTCCAGGGGGGGGTTGGGAATTCTGGGTGGGGTTTGGGAATTCCAGGCAGGGGGGGTTGGGAATTCCAGGGGGGGTTTGGGAATTCCGGGGGGGGTTGGGAATTCCAGCTGGAATTAAAGCCCAGAGGTTTGGGAATTCCAGGAGGGGTTTGGGAATTCCAGGAGGTTTTTGGGAATTCCAGGGGGGGGTTGGGAATTCTGGGTGGGGTTTGGGAATTCCAGGAGGGGTTGGGAATTCCAGGAGGTTTTTGGGAATTCCAGCTGGGGTCACAGCCCAGGAGAATTCCAAGCACTGCCAGGCTCAGGGAGATCCCAGGGGAGGATCCAGGATTCTTTCCCACAGAATTCAGGGAATTCCAGGAGAATTCCAAGCATTGCCACACTCAGCTCTGGATCCAGGACATCCCTGACACTTTTCCCATAGGATTTAGGAATTCCAAGCCTCTCCAGCCCCCCAGCTGGGGATCCAGGATGTCCCTGTGACTTTTCCCACAAATTTTGGGAATTCCAAGCACTGTCAGAGCTATCACTATCAGAGATATTCCTGACACTTTTCCCCCAGAATTTGGGAATTCCAGCCCCTCAGGTGTGGATCCAGGACATCCCTGACACTTTTCCCCCAGAATTTGGGAATTCCAGCCCCCTCAGGTGTGGATCCAGGACGTCCCAGTCACTTTCCCCAGAATTTGGGAATTCCAGCCCCCTCAGGTGTGGATCCAGGACATCCCAGTCACTTTCCCCAGAATCTGGGAATTCCAGCCCCCTCAGCTCTGGATCCAGGACATCCCTGACACTTTTCCTCCAGAATTTGGGAATTCCAGCCCCTCAGGTGTGGATCCAGGACATCCCAGTCACTTTCCCCAGAATCTGGGAATTCCAGCCCCCTCAGCTCTGGATCCAGGACATCCCTGACACTTTTCCTCCAGAATTTGGGAATTCGAGCCCCTCAGGTGTGGATCCAGGACATCCCTGATATTTCTCCTCCAGTATTTGGGAATTCCAAGCCTCTCCAGCCCCTCAGGTGTGCATCCAGGACATCCCAGTCACTTTTCCCCCAGAATTTGGGGATTCCAGCCCCTCAGGCCCCCTCCCGCCATTCCGGGGTCCCTCAGGGCTCCCCCCGCCATTCCGGGGTCCCCCCGGGCCGGGCTCCCCGGGGTCCCTCAGGGCCCCCCCGCCATTCCCGGTCCCCCCGGGCCGGGCCGGGCTCCCCGGGGCTCCCCGGGGCTCCCCCCGCCATTCCGGGGTCCCTCAGGGTCCCCCCCGCCATTCCCGGTCCCCCCGGGCCGGGCCGGGCTCCCGGGGCTCCCCGGCCCCGCAGGCGCCGCAGGCACAGCAGCAGGGCCAGCGCCAGCGCGTCCAGCAGCAGCTCCAGCATCTCCGCCACCGAGAGCACCGAGGAGCCGAACCACAGGCTCCACTGGCTGCCCATGCTGGACAGCAGCAGGTTCTCCTGGGGAGGAAAATGCGAAATAAAAAATAAATAAAAAACCCCAAAGTGTGTTTGTGCTGTTCCCCACACCCGTATCTGGAGCAATGGGATCCGTGGCTCATTTTTCCATAAATAAAAATCCAAATCCGATCCCAAAGCTCCAAGCAGCAGCTTCTCCTGGGAAAAAAAGAATCTGATTTTTTTATTTATCTGAGCTCTGGGAACAGGAATTCTGCTGCTGGCCTCATGCACAGCCTGGGAGTTAAGCTGACTAATAATTAATATTATCACATAAATATAAATATATATATATAAATTATACATATATATAAATAATTATAAAAATATATATACACACACATATATATATATACACATATATATACATATATATAATATATAAAAATAATAACAAATTAAAATTCATTAATAATAGCATATAAACAAATCTATATTTGTAAATCATGTAAAATAAAGCTTAAATGAATTCCTTGTTAATTATTTTCTATTACAATAGAAATAAAGAGATCTATTTTTCCATCACACAAAATAAAGGTAATTAATGAAATCCTAGGAGTGAATCCTCCTAAAATTGCCCGGAATTCCATGGAAATACCAAAGGAGGATTTGGGACGCACCGAGAGCAGCGGGGCCTCGTGCACGGCCTGCGAGCTCAGCTGCCGGTAGAAGATGGTGACCTTGGCAATGTCCCTCCTGCGGGGACACACGGCTGGCACCGGGCACGCCCAGGGCACACCTGGGACACGCCCGGGACATGCCTGGGGACACGCCCGGGGACACGGGACATGCCCAGGGACACGCCCGGACACATGGGACACACCCAGCTGGCAGGGGGACACGCCCGGGGACACCAGGACATGCCCGGGGACACACCTGGGGACACACCTGGGGACACACCCAGCTGGGACTGGGACACGCCCAGGGACATGGGACACACCTGGGGACACGCCCAGCTGGCACCGGGACACGCCCGGGGACACACCTGGGGACACGCCCAGCTGGGACTGGGACATGCCCAGGGACATGGGACACACCTGGGGACATGCCCAGGGCCACGGGGACACGCCCAGCTGGCACCAGGGACATTTCCAGTGCCCGTGGGGACACGCCCAGCTGGGACTGGGGACATTCCCAGCTGGCAATGGGGACATCCCCCATTGGCACCAGGACATTCCCAGTTGGGACTGGGACACATTTTTTGGGGACTTCTTGGGAATGTATTGGGGTTTCTTTGGGCCTTATTGGGGATTTATTGGGATTTATTGGGGATGATCCTGCAGGTTTTCCTGCTGCCCTCCCTTGCCCAGCCCAGACCCCATGGATTGGGATGACCCCGTTGGGATTGGGACGACCCCGTTGGCACTGGGATGACCCCGTTGGCACTGGGATGACCCCATGGATCTGGGGATGACCCCGTTGGCACTGGGATGACCCCATGGATCGGGATGACCCCACTGGGATTGGGATGACCCCATGGATTGGGGTGACCCCGTTGGCACTGGGACGACCCCACTGGGATTGGGATGACCCCGTTGGCACTGGGACGACCCCGTGGACGGGGTGACCCCAGGGTTTACCTGCTGCTGCTGGAGTTGTAGCCGTTCTGGTGCCGCAGAGCCTGGCGCACCCAGTCCTGCCACGGGAATGTTGGCATTGGAATGGTGCCATTGGAATGTTGTTAATGGGATATTGTTAATGGGATATTTGTTATTGGAATGTTGGCATTGGAATGTTGTTAATGGAACGTTGGAATTGCGATATTTGTTATTGGAATGTTGGCATTGGAATGTTTCCATTGGAATGTTGGCGTTGGAATGTTGGCATTGGAATATTTTTTATTGGAATGTTGGCATTGGAATGTTGGCATTGGAATGTTTCCAATGGAATATTTGCATTGGAACATTCGCTATTGGAATTTGGCATTGCAATGCTGACGTTGGAATGGTGGCATTGGAATATTTTTTATTGGAATGTTGGCATTGGAATGTTGTTAATGGGATATTTGTTATTGGACTGTTGGCATTGGAATGTTGGCATTGGAATATTTTTTATTGGAATGTTGGCACTGGAATATTTCCAATGGAATATTTGCATTGGAACATTCCCTATTGGAATTTGGCATTGCAATGCTGACGTTGGAATTGTGGCATTGGAATATTTGCTGTTGGAATGTTGTTAATGGAACGCTGGCATTGGAATGTTGGCACTGGAATATTTGTTATTGGAATGTTGTTAAAGGAATGTTTCCACTGGAATATTCTTAATGGAATATTTGTTATTGGAATATTTGTCACTGGAATATTGTTAAAGGAATGTTTCCATTGGAATATTCTTAATGGAATATTTGTTATTGGAATGTTCATTATTGGACTATTGGCATTGGAATGTTTGTCATTGGGAAATTCATTATTGGAATGTTTGTTATTGGAATATTATTGGAATATTTGTTATTGAAATATTCATTATTGGAATTTGTTACTGGAATATTCAGTACAGGAATGTTTCTATTGGAATATTTGTAATTGGAATATTAATTATTGGAATATTTTAATTGGAATATTCATTACAGGAATGTTTCTATTGGAATATTCATTATTGGAATATTGGAATATTCGTTATTGGAATATTCATTATTGGAATATTTGTTATTGCAATATTCATTATTGGAATGTTTCCATTGGAATTTTCATGACTGGAATTTTTGCAGTACCTGGGATTTTGCCGAGGGCCACTTGGCTGTGCCAGCTGAGACCTTGTACAGGGATTCCCTGGGGAGAAAAAAGCAGGAATCCTGAAAAACCTGGAATTCTGAGCACCAGGAGCTGCCCAGGGAGAATTCCCAGAAATCCAGAAAATTCCCAGGGCAGCTCTTCAGAGCTTTGGGAAAAGCTTCCCAATTCAGGTCACAAAATATACCCTAAGAATTAAATATAATAAATATAATCAATATAAATAAATTTATCTACTAAATTAAATATTGATTACATAGAATAAATAGAAATATTTGTTATTGGAATGTTGGCATTGGAATGTTGTTAATGGAACGTTGGAATTGCAATATTTGTTATTGGAATGTTGGCATTGGAATGTTTCCATTGGAATGTTGGCGTTGGAATGTTGGCATTGGAATATTTTTTATTGGAATGTTGGCACTGGAATATTTCCAATGGAATATTTGCATTGGAACATTCGCTATTGGAATTTGGCATTGCAATGCTGACGTTGGAATTGTGGCATTGGAATATTTGCTGTTGGAATGTTGTTAATGGAACGCTGGCATTGGAATGTTGGCACTGGAATATTTGTTATTGGAATGTTGTTAAAGGAATGTTTCCACTGGAATATTCTTAATGGAATATTTGTTATTGGAATATTTGTCACTGGAATATTGTTAAAGGAATGTTTCCATTGGAATATTCTTAATGGAATATTTGTTATTGGAATGTTCATTATTGGACTATTGGCATTGGAATGTTTGTCATTGGGAAATTCATTATTGGAATGTTTGTTATTGGAATATTATTGGAATATTTGTTATTGAAATATTCATTATTGGAATTTGTTACTGGAATATTCAGTACAGGAATGTTTCTATTGGAATATTTGTAATTGGAATATTAATTATTGGAATATTTTAATTGGAATATTCATTACAGGAATGTTTCTATTGGAATATTCATTATTGGAATATTGGAATATTCGTTATTGGAATATTCATTATTGGAATATTTGTTATTGCAATATTCATTATTGGAATGTTTCCATTGGAATTTTCATGACTGGAATTTTTGCAGTACCTGGGATTTTGCCGAGGGCCACTTGGCTGTGCCAGCTGAGACCTTGTACAGGGATTCCCTGGGGAGAAAAAAGCAGGAATCCTGAAAAACCTGGAATTCTGAGCACCAGGAGCTGCCCAGGGAGAATTCCCAGAAATCCAGAAAATTCCCAGGGCAGCTCTTCAGAGCTTTGGGAAAAGCTTCCCAATTCAGGTCACAAAATAAACCCTAAGAATTAAATATAATAAATATAATCAATATAAATAAATTTATCTACTAAATTAAATATTGATTACATAGAATAAATAGAAATAATTAAATTTAAATGAGAAAAAGATGTGACAATTAAATTTAAATTTAATTTCAATTTCCATTACATTTAGATGACATTAAATTTAAATTTAATATCAATTTCCATTACATTCAGATGACATTAAATTTCGAATAAATTTAATTTTAATTTTAATTAAATTTTAAAAAGATGGGAGGATGAAATTGAAATTTGAACTGAGATTTTTGGGGCTCACCTGCAGGGTTTGGGGCAGTGCTGGAAACAATCCAGGCGGTGATTCCTGAGCCGGGAGTAGAGCTGGTAAAAGCAGTGCCCTGGAAATGGCATGGAAGGAACAGGCTTGGGAATTCCCGGGAATTCCCAGGAATTCCCACTGCCTTTGGAATTATCCCGAAGGAAAATAATCAGAATTAAATCCGAAAATCCTGGATTAAATCCTAAAATCCCAGGATTTTGAGTTGGAAGGGACCTTAAAGATAATTCTGACCCCACGGATCCAGGATCCTTTAAACTCAGGGAATTCTGGGATTCCAAGGATTTCCCAGGGACTCAGGAATTTCCAGGAATTTTTTCCTCAGGCAGTCCCAGGGATTATTTCCTAGGATCCAGTGAATTCCCAGGCTTTATTTTCATAATTATATTTTATATTTTTACAATTATATTTTCTATTTTTGCTGTAATATTTTATATTTATATTTATAATTTACATTTACATTTATATTTATATTTACTCCCCCCAGGCGGGCTGGCGGCTGTAGTCGCAGTGCCGCCATTTCCCCAGGCAATCCCAGGGATGTTTTCCAGGGACCCAGGCTTTATTTTGATCATTATATTTTATATTTTTACAATTATATTTTATATTTTTACTACAATATTTTCTATTTTTCTTTATTCTGCTCACCCCAGGCGGGCTGGCGGCTGTAGTCGCAGTACCGCCATTTCCCCAGGCAATCCCAGGGATGTTTTCCAGGGACCCAGGCTTTATTTTTATAATTATATTTTATATTTTTACAATTACATTTTATATTTTTACTACAATATTTCTATTTATATTTGTACTTTTTCCAGGGACCCAGGCTTTATTTTGATCATTATATTTTATATTTTTACAATTATATTTTATATTTTTACTACAATATTTTCTATTTTTCTTTATTCTGCTCACCCCAGGCGGGCTGGCGGCTGTAGTCGCAGTAGCGAGCCCCGGCGGGCAGCGGGTAGTAGAAGTAGCCGCAGCCACAGCGCTGCAGCATGGCCCGCTGGAAACACGAGTGCAGGCAGGCCTGCAGAAGGGAAACGAGGGGAAAATATTGGGATAAACCAAAAAAATTCCAAATTTCTAGGATGGAACTGGCAGGAGAAAAAGGGGAAAAAAATTGGATAAATTAGAAAAAAATCTGAATGTGTAGGGTGGGGTTATTAGGAGAAAAAGGGAAAAAATTGGGTAAATAAAAATAAATTCTGATTGTCTAGGATGAAGATTTTAGGACAAAAAGGGTAAAAAAAATTGGATAAATCAGAAAAAATTCAGAATCTGGAGGATGGAGTTCTTAGGAGAAACGGCAAAAAAATTGCGATAATTAAAAATAAATTCTGAATCTGTAGTACAGAGCTTTTAGGAGAAAAGGGCAAAAAATATTTGGATAAATCAGAAAAAATTCCAAAACTATGGGATGGAGCTTTTAGGAGACAAGGGCAAAAAAATTGGAGTTGTTGTGGCAGGAGAAAAAGGGGAAAAAAAATTGGATAAATTAGAAAAAAATCTGAATGTGTAGGGTGGGGTTATTAGGAGAAAAAGGGAAAAAATTGGGTAAATAAAAATAAATTCTGATTGTCTAGGATGAAGATTTTAGGACAAAAAGGGTAAAAAAAATTGGATAAATCAGAAAAAATTCAGAATCTGGAGGATGGAGTTCTTAGGAGAAACGGCAAAAAAATTGCGATAATTAAAAATAAATTCTGAATCTGTAGTACAGAGCTTTTAGGAGAAAAGGGCAAAAAATATTTGGATAAATCAGAAAAAATTCCAAAACTATGGGATGGAGCTTTTAGGAGACAAGGGCAAAAAAATTGGAGTTGTGGAGCAGCTGCAGCCTGGCTAAACCAGGTTTAGCTAAACTGGGTTTAGCTGAGCCAGGCTCAGTACCTGCAGGGTGTACAGTTGCTGTAGAGCAGCTGCAGCCTGGCTAAGCTGGGTTTAGCTGAGCCGGGTTTAGCTAAGCCGGGCTCAGTACCTGCAGGGTGTACAGTTGCTGGAGAGTAGCTGCAGCCTGGCTAAGCTGGGTTTAGCTGAGCCAGGCTCAGTACCTGTAGGGTGTACAGTTGCTGGAGAGTAGCTGCAGCCTGGCTAAGCTGGGTTTAGCTGAGCCAGGCTCAGTACCTGTAGGGTGTACAGTTGCTGGAGAGTAGCTGCAGCCTGGCTAAGCCCGGTTTAGCTAAGCCGGGCTCAATACCTGCAGGGTGTAGGAGTTGTTGTAGAGCAGCTCCACGGCCACGTCCGCCCCGTCCGTGGTGCACCTGCCGTAGTTGCCACCCAGGCGATTCACCTGGTCCTGTGGGGACACAAAGGAACTGGGCTGATTAATTAGCAGGGTTCATTAATTAGTGCCTCCAGGATTAGCAGGGTTAATTGGAGCCCTGGGTGATGAGCAGGGTTAATTGGAGCCAGCCATCACCCTCAGGACTGCACTGCAGGAAGGGCAGGGAGTTAATGAGCAGCAGAGCTGCACCTTGGTAATTAATATATGGGAAACAATATAAATAAATATTAATTAATTAATACACAACATATTATATACATTAATAGTTTCTATTTTCTATGTTTTATATCATATCTATCAAGCGGGAATGAAATCAGGCTCCAACATTTTGAGAGCCAAAAGAACATTTGGGACTTTTTATTTGGGGTCGAGCCCAGTGAGGAGATGAGAGAGGACCCCAAGCCCAGCAGGTGTCCCCGTGCCCCCGAGGGACCGTGCCCACCTGGTGGATGCCAAAAGGGATGGTCTGGGATGGTTTGGGATGGTCTGGGATGGTTTGGGATGGTCTGGGATGGTTTGGGATGGTCTGGGATGGTTTGGTTTGGGATGGTTTGGGATGGTTTGGGATGCTCTGGGTTTGGTCTGACCCCACACCTGGCGGATGCCGAAAGGGATGGTTTGGGATGGTTTGGGATGGTTTGGGGTGCTCTGGGTTTGGTCTGACCCCGCACCTGGCAGATGCCGAAAGGGATGGTTTGATTTGGGATGGTTTGATTTGGGATGGTTTAGGATGGTTTAGGATGGTTTGGGATGGTTTGGGATGCTCTGGGTTTGGTCTGACCCCACACCTGGCGGATGCCGAAAGGGATGGTTTGGGATGGTTTGGGATGGTCTGGGATGGTTTGGGATGGTTTGGGATGCTCTGGGTTTGGTCTGACCCCACACCTGGCGGATGCCGAAAGGGATGGTTTGGGATGGTTTGGGATGGTTTGGGGTGCTCTGGGTTTGGTCTGACCCCGCACCTGGCAGATGCCGAAAGGGATGGTATGATTTGGGATGGTTTGATTTGGGATGGTTTAGGATGGTTTAGGATGGTTTGGGATGGTTTGGGATGCTCTGGGTTTGGTCTGACCCCACACCTGGCGGATGCCGAAAGGGATGGTTTGGGATGGTTTGGGATGGTTTGGGGTGCTCTGGGTTTGGTCTGACCCCGCACCTGGCAGATGCCGAAAGGGATGGTATGATTTGGGATGGTTTGATTTGGGATGGTTTAGGATGGTTTAGGATGGTTTGGGATGGTTTGGGATGCTCTGGGTTGGTCTGACCCCGCACCTGGCGGATGCCGATGGTGGTGGCGATGCCCGGGCGGATGTGGAAGCCCTCGTGCTCCAGGAACGGCGTCTGGTTGTGGCTGTGGATCATCACCTTCACCCCAGCCACGGTGGACAGCAGAGGGATGTGCTCCTTCTGCTCGGCCCGCAGGATCAGGGACAGCCCTGGGACACACGGGGGGACAGGACATCACCTGGGGGGCAGCAGGACAGCAGGACAGCTGGGGGACAGGAGGACAGCTCCCAGTGCTGGGCAAAGGATCAGGGACAACCCTGGGACACACGGGGGGACAGGACATCACCGGGGGGGCAGCAGGACAGCCCTGGGGACAGGAGGATGGTGGGGGACAGCAGGACAGCCCTGGGGACACACGGGGGGACAGGAGATCACCTGGGGGACACAGCTGGGAGACAGGAGACCACCTGGGGGACAGAAGGACAGCTGGGGGGACTGCAGGACAGCTGGAGGGGACAGGAGGACAGCTCGGGCACAGGAGATCACCTGGGGGACAGGAGATCACCTGGGGGGACAAGAGGACAACTGGGGGACAGGAGGACAGCTGGGGGGACAGGAGGACAGCTGGGAGGGGACAGGAGGACAGCTGGGAGGGACAGGAGGACAGCTGGGAGGGGACAGGAGGACAGGAGCACAGCGGGGGGGACAGGAGATCACCTGGGGGGGACAGGAGGACAGCTGGAGTAATAAATAAATAAATCCCTGCTGTTTGGGTTTGGGTCCCAGATTTGGGTTCTGGGATCCCTCAAGAGCCATTTTGAATCCTCACAGCCCTGGTGACAATGGCACCAATCCAATCCCTCAATAATCCCATAATTAATAATAAAAACACCTATAAATAAAACCCAATAAACCCCAATATTCTGTAATAAACATTGTAAGAATATCCTGCTCCAAACTAAAAAGAAATTCTGCTTTTTTAAGCTGAATTTGTGCCACAAAAGAGATGCCTAAATTTGCCACTATATCCTGCACTGAGGAAAAAATTAATTATTTCTCTTAATTTTAGCTCTTTTTCCCCATTTTGCAGATCACTCACCATAAGGAATTCCTGGTTTTGTGGCTGCCCAGAAGGGATCTGTCCCCTTGCTGTTGAAAGTGTAGCAGCTCCCAAAAACTGGGTGGTGGAAGTGATCATAATCACTGGAAAATCAGAGATTTGGTGGAGTTTTAATGGAAAATCAAGAGAAATGTGATTGGGGTTTTAATTACAAGTGTGACACCACCTTCATTCCAAGCTGGATGTGTTTGGGACAGGGGGAAGGAGCTGTGCATTCCCTGGAAACCCCAAAACCACAGAATGACCAGGCTGGAAGAGACCTCCAAACCACGGAGTCCAACCCAGCCCCAACACCTCAACTCAACCCTGGCACCCAGTGCCACACCCAGGGGTGGTGACTCCAGCACCTCCCTGGTTCCTGGGAATTCCCTAAATTCCCCCAAATTCACAGAATTCACAGATTCTCCATGTTGGAAGAGACCTTCAAGACCATGGAGTCCAACCCAGCCCCAACACCTCAACTCAACCCTGGCACCCAGTGCCACACCCAGGGATGGTGACTGCAGCCCCTCCCTGGCAGCCATTCCAGAACTCCTCACCTTCCTGTAGACCTCCATCCTGACGCCCCCTGCCCTTGGTGCCACCCCCTCCCTGGCAGCCATTCCAGAACTCCTCACCTTCCTGTAGACCTCCATCCTGACGCCCCCTGCCCTTGGTGCCACCCCCTCCCTGGCAGCCATTCCAGAACTCCTCACCTTCCTGTAGACCTCCATCCTGACGCCCCCTGCCCTTGGTGCCACCCCCTCCCTGGCAGCCATTCCAGAACTCCTCACCTTCCTGTAGACCTCCATCCTGACACCCCCTGCCCTTGGTGCCACCACCTCCCTGGCAGCCATTCCAGAACTCCTCACCTTCCTCCATCCCGACATCCCCCCTGCCCCTGGTGCCACCTGGGGCTGGCAGCCATTCCAGAACTCCTCACCTTCCTCCATCCCGACACCCCCTGCCCTTGGTGCCACCTGGGGCTGGCAGCCATTCCAGAACTCCTCACCCTCCTCCATCCCGACACCCCCTGCCCTTCCCCTGGTGCCCCCACCTGGGCCGGCAGGGCTCCCCGTCGTACTGGCAGGAGTAGACGAGGTGCTGGAAGTGCTGCGGGTGCGGGGGCAGCGCCGGGGGCAGCTGGGCCATCACGTTCATGTAGTGGAAGCGGAACCACTCGAGCAGCGCGTCCATGCCCGACGGGTGCCAGTTGTAGAAGCAGCTCCCGCCCGTGGAGTTGCACTGGGACACGGAGGGCAGGGAGGGAAAAGGGGCTGTTGGTGTGCTGGGATGGGTTGGGTTGTGTGATAACAGTTGTTATATGTTATGTTATGTTATGTTATGTTATGTTATGTTACGTTATATTTTGTTATGTTATATTACGTTATATTACGTTATATTAGATTATATTATGCCATTATTTTGTGGCAATCAGCAGCTATTCAAAATCTTCCTCAGTTACAAAAGAAAATGATATTTGCATGTCAGTAATATATATTATGTTATGTTATATTATGTTATGTTGTATTACATTGCATTAGGTTATGTTATATTATATTATATTACATTACATTATATTATATTATCTATTAAATATATCGTCATATATAACTTTAATATATTGTACAATATATATTAAATACCTATAAATATATTTAAAGTACACATATAACATAGATTAGTATGTAAATTAAATATTCTTTTACTATGTAATATGTAATATAAATAAATAAATAAATAAATAAATATAATTGTATTATATGGGAACTATTATTATTCCCATAATAGTAATAGACTATTTTTGTGTAAATCCCATTCAAGTATTTTGGGGTGAATCCCTAGTTTCTTTGAATCCCCATCCCAGTCTCCAGGTATTTGGGGTGAATCCCCATCCCAATCCCCAGTTCCTTTGGGGTGAACCCCCATGTATTTTGGGGTGAATCCCCAGTTTCTTGGGGTGAATCCCCAGTTCCTTTGGGGTGAATCCTCAGTTTCTTTAGGGTGAATCCCCACGTATTTGGGGTGAATTATGTTATATTATATTATGTTATATTATATTATGTTATATTATATTATGTTATATTATATTATATTATATTATATTATATTATATTATATTACATTACATTATATTATCTATTAAATATATTGTCATATATAACTTTTTTATATTATATAATATATATTAAATACCTATAAATATATTTAAAATATACATATAATATAGATGAGCATGTAAATTAAATATTCTTTTACTAAATCTTATATATATATATAATTGTATTATATGGGAACTATTATTGTTCCCATAATAGTAATAGACTATTTTTGTGTAAATCCCATCCAGGGATTTTGGGGTGAATCCCCAGTTCCTTTGGGATGAACCCCCAGTTCCTTTGGGGTGAATCCCCAGGGATTTTGGGGTGAATCCCCAGTTCCTTTGGGATGAACCCCCAGGTATTTTGGAGTGAACCCCCATCCCAATCCCCCCTTTCTTTGGGGTGAACCCCCCCTTTCTTTGGGGTGAACCCCCCCTTTCCTGGGGTGCCCCCACCCCTCGGTGCCGCCCCCAGGTATTTTGGGGTGAACCCCCATCCCAATCCCCACTTTCTTTGGGGTGAATCCTCAGTTTCTTTAGGGTGAATCCCCAGGTATTTTGGGGTGAACCCCCATCCCAATCCCCACTTTCTTTGGGGTGAATCCTCAGTTTCTTTAGGGTGAATCCCCAGGTATTTTGGGGTGAACCCCCATCCCAATCCCCACTTTCTTTGGGGTGAATCCCCAGTTTCTTTAGGGTGAACCCCCAGGTATTTTGGGGTGAATCCCCAGGCATTTTGGGGTGAATCCCCATCCCAATCCCCACTTTCTTTGGGGTGAACCCCCCCTTTCTTTGGGGTGACCCCCCCCTTTCCTGGGGTGCCCCCCACCCCTCGGTGCCGCGGCGCCGCTCACCAGCCGGAATCCCACCCTGGCCTGTTTCCTGCCCGCGCTGGGGTCCCACATGCGGACCAGGGAGAAGTTGTGGCTGAGGCGGAAGGCGGCGCTGCTGAGGTTGGCCCAGGCCTGGACGCGGATGGCCCTGGCCCTGTTCCTGGCCCTGTCCCTGGCCCTCAGCAGGGCCAGCCGGGCCGCGGCCCTGGGGCCGTACAGGAAGGTCAGCGACTCCTCGGCCATCAGCTCCAGCTGCTCCAGCTGCTCGCTGACCAGCTCAAACCTGCAGGTTGGGGGAAAAATCCCCTTTTTGGGAAAAAAAAAAAATCACATTTTGGGAAAATTCTGTGTTTCTGATCCCTCACTGACCAGCTCAAACCTGCAGGTTGGGGGAAAAATCCCCTTTTTGGGAAAAAAAAAAAATCACATTTTGGGAAAATTCTGTATTTCTGATCCCTCACTGACCAGCTCAAACCTGCAGGTTGGGGAAAAAAAAACACATTTTGGGGAAATTCTGCATTTCTAATCTCTCACTGACCAGCTCAAACCTGCAGGATTGGGGAAAAAATCCACATTTTGGGGAAAAAAAAAAATCACATTTTGGGAAAATTCTGTGTTTCTGATCCCTCACTGACCAGCTCAAACCTGCAGGTTGGGGAAAAAAAAACACATTTTGGGGAAATTCTGCATTTTTAATCTCTCACGGACCAGCTAAAATCATTTTGGGGAAATTCTGCATTTCTAATCTCTCACTGACCAGCTCAAACCTGCAGGATTGGGGAAAAAATCCACATTTTGGGGAAAAAAAAAAATCACATTTTGGGAAAATTCTGTGTTTCTGATCCCTCACTGACCAGCTCAAACCTGCAGGTTGGGGAAAAAAAAAAAAAAAACACATTTGGGGAAAATTTTGCATTTCTGGTGTCTCACTGACCAGCTCAAACCTGCAGGTTGGGGGAAAAATCAACATTTTGGGAAAATTCTGCATTTCTGATCCTTCACTGACCAGCTCAAACCTGCAGGACTGGGAAATTCTGCTGCTCAGCACACTTAACTCTAATAACATTAATATTTAATATATTAATTTCTCAAATCTTTGGGACGTATCCCAGACCATTCTTAAACCTTTGGGGACGTGTCCCTGACCATTCCCAAACATCCCAGACCATTCCGAAACCTTTAGGGACATGTCCCAGACCATCCCCAAACCTTTAGGACCCAACCGGGACCATCCCCAAACCTTTAGGACCCATCCCAGACCATTCCAAACCTTCAGGACACGTCTAGGACCATTCCCAAACCTCTAGGACCCGTCCCAGACCATCCCCAAAGCTCTGGGACGTGTCCCTGACCATTCCCAAACATCCCAGACCATTCCCAGACCTTCAGGACCCATCCCAGACCATCCCCAACCCTTTGGGACCCATCCCAGACCATTCCAAACCTTCAGGACACGTCCAGGACCATCCCCAACCCTCAGCTCACCTGTAGGGATCCAGGTTGCAGATGGTGACGGCCGGGAACATTTTGGGCTCGGAGTCCATGGACATGGTGAGCACCACGGGGTAGGCCCAGAACTGGCTGAACATGAGGGCGAACTGCCAGTAGAGCATGGCCAGGCTGGCCAGCAGCAGCAGCGTCCAGAACGCCGTCTTCATGCGGTTCCTGCCCGAGCACACCAGCCGGATGGTGCCGTGGATCGTGGTGTTCTTGCAGAAGAACTCAAACATCTCCTTGTAGGAGCTGTAGAACTCGATCAGCCCTTCCTCAGCCGCTTCTCCTTCTCCTCCTGGAAGGTCCAGCTCCATATCTAAACGGCTTTCTGGGCATGAGAAACAATGGAAAATCGTGTTAATCTGAGGGAAAGACTCTTCCAAAGAGGATTCTTCAAACCGGCTTTGTCCAAAGAGGTCTTTTCCAAAGGCGCGTTTTCCAAAGAGGGTTTTTCCAAAGAGGTTTTTTCCAAAGAGGTTTTTTCCAAAGAAACCTTTTCCAAACAGGCCTGTCCCAAATGGGTTTCTCCCAAATGGGCTTTTCCAAAGAAGTCTCTTCCAAAGAGGTCTCTTCCAAAGAGGTCTCTTCCTAAGAGGGCTTTTCCAAAGAAGTCTCTTCCAAAGAGGTCTCTTCCTAAGAGGGCTTTTCCAAAGAGGTCTTTTCCAAAGGCGCGTTTTCCAAAGAGGGTTCTTCCAAAAAAGGTTTTTTCAATTCCAAAGAGGCTTCTCCCAAATGGGCTTTTCCAAAGAGGTCTCTTCCCAAGAGGGCTTTTCCAAAGAGGCCATTTCCAAAGAAACCTTTTCCAAACGGAATTTTCCCAAATGGGCTCTTTTCAAAGAGGATTTTTCCAAGGAGGTCTTTTCCAAGAGGCTTTTCCAAAGAAACCTTTCCCAAACACACTTTTCCCAAAGAGGTCTTTTCTAAGAGGCTTTTCCAAAGAAACCTTTTCCAAACACACTTTTTCCCAAGTGGTCTTTTCCAAAGAGTTTTTTTTCCAAGAGGCTTTTCCAAACAGACTTTTCCAAAGTGGATTTTCCCAAGAGTCCTTTTCCAAACAGGTTTTTTCCAAAGTTGCCTGTTCCAAAGAGGCCTTTCCAAAGAAGCTTCTCCAAAGTTTCCTCTTCCAAACAAACCTTTTATCCCCAAACGAGTTTGTAATTAGGAAAACCTGACAATAAAACTGCAGAGAATCTGAATCCAGGGAGATTCCCCCAGAATCTGCACCCAGGAAGGAGCAAAAACCCCAAATTCTGCCGCTGCTGAGGAATTCTGAGGAGCTTTCCCTCACTTCCAGAGGATTTCCCTGCCAAGGTGGATTTGGGATAATGCTGGGAAGTTTGAGGCCATAAAAAGTGAGGAATTTTCTTCTTTCCAAGAACTCCAAGGAGCAGGCTTAAATTCTGAAGTGTCAACTCAGATTTGTAATCCATGATCAGGGAATATTGCTAGTGGAATATTCTGATTTAAACATTATTTACTATTATTATTATTATTATTATAAAATTATTATAAATTCTGAAGTGTCAACTCAGATTTGTAATCCATGATCAGGGAATATTGCTAGTGGAATATTCTGATTTAAACATTATTTACTATTATTATTATTATTACTATTATTACTATTACTATTATTTATTTTTATATATATATATTATATATATTATTTATTATATAATTATTTCTTATTTATTCTTGGTTTATGTCTTGTTTTATGCCTTAAAACAAGACTGGCTCAAAACCACTACGGTTTCATCCTTATGGCAGAGAATGAGGGAAAAATTCAACTTTCAATGGGTTGAATTAGAAGCTGGTTTTAATTTTTGCTGTAGGATCTCATGCTGCAGAATAAAGAGGATGAATTCATCCCTGAACTCTGCTCCAAGATGAAACAGAGGAGGTGCAGGCAGGAATTTTGGGGTGGAAATGGAAAAAAAAAATCTCAGTTGGATGCACAGAGGGGAGGGGGCAAATTAGGGTGTGGAGAAAGAATTGAATTCAAAAACTGTAGAAACCACTGGAAATAAAATAAAAACACCCTCGGGGTGCTTATTGAAGACCACCAAAATATTAATTAAATAATATTATTATTAATAATTAACATTATTAACAGTGATTTTGCCACATAAACAGGAATTTAGGTATTTGCAATTTACAGCAGTGAAAAGAAATGGAAAAGAAATTGAAAACCACTCAAAAGAGCAGCATAAATACAACTAAAAATCCAGATTTTTTAAAATTATGATTTCTCCCAGTAATTAAAACATCTCCTGTGCTATTCCAGGGATAATTCCAGCATTTCTGAGCATGGAAAAGTGGCTGTGGTGGCAGTCTGGGACAGCTGAGTGACGTTGGGACATTTCCGTGTCCTGAAGATGACACGGTGAGAATTTCCAACGTGACAGCAGCCCGTGAATCACCCTGCTCATTATGTCATTAAAAGGAGTTTACTGAGTCCAAACTTCGGGACAACCTTTGCTCCAAATCAGAAAATAAAATAAAAATTAGGGTTGCAGGGATGGAGGTTGAAATCGAGGAGAGCAGGAGAAGTTAAAGGATTGTTGGGAGAGGTTCTGTGATGGAATGAAGGAAATTAATTTAATTTATTTTAATGAAATGAAAGCTTTGAGTCTTTAGCCATGAGGAAATGTGGAATAAAAAACCAAAAATAATGACCCAAAATGAATGTCAAAAGAATCTAGTCTTTGCTCATGAGGAAATGTGGAAAAAAAGGAAGAATTACCCAAAATGAATGCTAAAAGAATTTATCAAACACAGATTTTTTAAATCTAGTTTTAACTACAAAAACCCCCAGATGAAGCCTGGTTGTCAGAGATAATTCAGTTTTCAGGTGTTCTGAGTGGGATTTTAACTTTATGGTGAATTCATCCTGTTTAAATCTGCTTTGTTAAAATTAATCATTCTAAAAATTTAATAAAGCAAAATAATTCAGAAACAATCTGGACAAACAGCACACCCCAAGATTTATAGCCACAAATACAAAAACACACATTAAAAAAATCAAATTATAACCAAATTACACCGTACCTTGGCAGAAACTGAGCGTTTAGAGAAGCCACTAAACCCAGCCCTGGGCTTAACCCTGAGCAGAAATCCAGTGCTGGCCCAAAGCTGTGGGGTTTGGGAGGCCCTGGAGCTGTCCAGCCTTTATGGAGGGAAGGGATGACATCAAAAGGGGCAGGACTGGAGGAAGAGACCATGGAAATTATTCAAAGCATGATCCAGGGAATAATAGGAAGTGAATGAACTGGACAGACGGGTTAACGCCGAGGTTACACCGCAGTTAAGCTGGGTTTAAGCGCCGCTGGCGTGTTCACCCTCATGGTCAGAGTCATCGTTTTTAGGGAAATAACCACGCATTCCAGAATGTTCTTCCTGCTCTGGATTTTCCGTCTTTGTCCTTCCCACTCTGGATCTTCCCATTTTTGTTCTTCCCACTCTGGATTTTCCCATCTAGGGAGGAACTTTGCTCTTCCCACTCTGGATTTTCTCATCTTTGCTCTTCCTGCTCTGGATTTTCCATCTTTCTTCTTCCTGCTCTGGATTTTCCATCTTTGTTCTTCCTGCTCTGGATTTTCCATCTTTGTTCTTCCTGTTCTGGATTTTCCCATCTTTGCTCTTCCTGCTCTGGATTTTCCATCTTTCTTCTTCCTGCTCTGGATTTTCCCATCTTTGCTCTTCCCATTGTGGATTTTCCCATCTTTGTTCTTCCTACTCTGGATTTTCCCATCTTTGCTTTTCCCACTCTTGGTTTTCCATCTAGGGAGGATTTTTGTTCTTCCCACTCTGGATTTTCCCATCTTTGTTCTTCCTACTCTGGATTTTCCCATCTTTGCTTTTCCCACTCTTGATTTTCCATCTAGGGAGGAACTTTGCTCTTCCCACTGTGGATTTTCCCATCTTTGCTCTTCCTGCTCTGGATTTTTCATCTTCTTCCTGCTCTGGATTTTCCATCCTTGCTCTTCCCACTTTGGATTTTTCCATGTTTTCTCTTCCTGCTCTGGATTTCCCAATTTTTGTCCTTCCCACTCTGGATTTTCCCATCTCTGTCCTTCCCACTCTGGATTTTTCCATGTTTTCTCTTCCTGCTCTGGATTTCCCAATTTTTGTCCTTCCCACTCTGGATTTTCCCATCTCTGTCCTTCCCACTCTGGATTTTCCCACCCAGGGAGGATCCTCCTGCCTTCTTTCCCTGTTGTCCAGAGCCTGGTGGGATCCCAGGCAATCGGAGCCACCAAGCCTTGAGGAATTGCATTCCTTGGCAGAACCAGCAGGATCTCCTCCTGCTTCTCCAAGAATATCCCATCCCAACTCCAAATCCAATCCCAATCCCATCCCAATCCCAATCCCATGCAGGATTCAGGTGCTGAGATGGAACCAGAACCAAACCAACCCCGTTCCAGTCAGGTGTTGGGGTTGTGGTTGGGTTAAAGAGTGGCAGAAGTGATGGAGAAATGGATTTGGGGCACCAAGGAGAACTTCCATGATTATTTTTTGATCCTTTCCCACGTGGAAAAAGCAGGAATATTTTTTAATGTGAAAATGGGAATATTTGGGATCCAGATAAATTTAGAGCCTGCCTTTTCAAATTGGATTTTCTCTCCCACTGGCAGCTGTGAAATATCAGTGTTTGCAAAAAAAAAAAATTGAAATTTCTTGTGAAATTTGATTCAGAAAGAAGGAAGAAAGGACAAAGGTGAAGGGAAAGAAACTCTCGTGATGTTGATTGATTTCAATCCTACTTACACTTGATTTATGCTGGAAATATATGAATTTATAACCCCATACAATAATTATCCAAGGACAGAGTTTGCACAGTTCATACATAAAAACTTCCAAGAAAAATGGCAAAATTCCTAAATTTTCTTTACCTCTGCAGCCTTTATCAATTAGATAGGATGTGATTCCATGAAAATGAACAAATTAAAAACAAAAATTAAAATTAAGTGGGGAAAGGAACCTTCTGGCCACGGCCACAGCTGCTGCTCCTCAGGACACACAGAACATTTTCTCCTTCCCTCCTCCCAAGCCCTAATCAACATCTCCTTACTCAGAATTTTTAATTACAGCCCTGCAACCCCCCCGGACTTTCTCAGGGTTCTTATCTCCACAATCTCTGCATTTTGAAACAAACAAAAAAAAAAAATCACATTTTTAAGCAGTGAAGGAGTTTTTTCCATCCTTCTCTCCAAATTCAGGATCCACAAAAATCCAAGAGAACCTGGAGATTTTCTCAGTGATGCTGATCCAGTTTGTTTCCCGATTTTCCAGGAAAAAAAATTCCTGGAGGGAATTTTGCAGGGATTTTTTCCCAGGTGCTGCCATGGTGAGGCAACAGGAGCTGTTTGGTGGCTGCTCCTTGTGCAACAATTGCATTGTCAGGATTGATTGTTGCATTTTCATTGCACAACGCGGGGTGAGGAGAGACACGAACGTGACAGAACAAGGCTCCCAGTGCTGGGAGGTTGTTAAAGAGATTTTAGCTAATTAACTCTTCACCTGGCTCTGCTAAAACTCTTCATTTGATTTCTTAAATTAAAAATTGAAATCATTAAAAAAAAATTTAAATTACAATTTTTAATTAAAAGTTTCTGAAATCATGTTGGGTTTTTTAAAATTTAAAAAATATTCCAGGTATGTTTTGTGAAACTTCCTTTTAATATTAAAGAGAGGTGGAACAGAATAATAACAGCTGGTTAAGAGGATTTGAATCTTTTAAATAATTTTAAAATTTGAGAGGAACATACCACGTGTCCCATCTTCATTCTTCCCACTCCGGATTCCCAGAGGAAATTTGGGCGTGCAGAGCTCCAGGAGAGCAGGAGAACATCCAGGAAATGAAGGAATTCAGCACAAAAAGGAATTCAGGGATTGCCAGAAGAAATGTTGGTGTGCAGAGCACCAGGAGAGCAGGAGAACATCCAGAACATGCTGGAATTCAGCACAGAAATCAATCCAGGGATTCCTGAAGGAAATTTGGGTGTGCAGAGCTCCAGAACATCAAGAGATAGGAGGAATTCAGCACAAAAATCAATCCAGGGATTCCCAGAGGGAATTTGGGCGTGCAGAGCTCGAGAACACGCAGAGCTCAGCATCCCTCCCGGGCAGGAGCAGAGGGAGGGGTGAAGCACAGCTGGAGCTCTGCAGGGCAGGCTCTGCCTCCTGAGCCAGCAGGAATCCCAGAGGGGTGGGACAGCAAGGAGGGCGAAGGGAGGAGGCACTGGGAGCACTGGGAGCACTGGGAGCTGCTGCCCACAGCAGCTTGGCTGGACTGGCTGATCCAGTGGCCACCAACCTTTCCTCAGGCAATCCCTGCAATGGTTTTGTCCTCTGGCAATCCCTGCAATGCTTTTTGTGCTGAATTCCTGCATTTTCGGGATGTTCTCCTGCAGCTCTGCACACCCAAATTTCCTTCAGGAATCCCTCAATTGCTTTTTGTGCTGAATTCCAGCATTTTCTGGATGTTCTCCTGCTCTCCTGGAGCTCTGCACACCCAGATTTCCTCTGGGAATTCCCAAATTTATTTTTGTGCTGAATTCCAGCATTTTCTGGATGTTCTCCTGCTCTCCTGGAGCTCTGCACACCCGAATTTCCTTCAGGAATTCCTGAATTGCTTTTTTTCCTCTGGGAATCCCTGATTTGCTTTTTTTTTGCTCTGGGAATCCTTGAATTGCTTTTTGTGCTGAATTCCTGAATTTTCTGGATGTTTTCCTCCTCTCCTGGAATGTCTGTGGAGCTCTGCACACCAGATTTCCTCTGGCAATCCCTCAATTCCTTTTTTTTTCCTCTGGGAATCTGAATTGCTTTTTTTCCCCTGGGAATCCCTGAATTTTTTTTTTGTTTGGTGGTTGGTTTTTTTGTTTTTTTGTTTTTTGTTTTTTCCCTCTGGCAGTTCCTAAATTGCGTTTTTCCTCTGGCAATCCCTGAATTTATTTATTTTTTTTTCCCCCCCCCTGGAACCCCCTGAATTGTTTTTGGTGTGAAGTTTGAGCCCTGGCTGGGGGATTTCTCTGCAGTTCCTCCCAGGGACCTGAGCCTGCAGAGCTGGGATGTCCCAATGCTGCCAAACCTGCTCCAGGCTGGTTCAACCCCCCTTAACCCCTGCTGGGCTCGCTTTTAATCCCAATTTTCCAAAATAAAACTCCCTGGCACAATGAGCACATGACTCATCTGTTAATCACCAGCCGTGGAAATATTCCTTAATTACCCCTCCTTAATGAGCAAGCTCCACGTCAGCCCTGCCCTGGGTGCAGAGGGTTAAAATCCAGCCCGGAAATGAAAATGAAAATAAAAATTAAAATCCTGCTGGGATGAGCAAGCATTCGTTTGCACTCACTCACCTGTGTGAGGAAGGAACCTGCAGCTGCTCCTGGCATCGCTCTGGAAGAACAATTCCTGGGGTTTTTTTGGGGTTCTCTTCCTCTTCTGGTTCCTCTCCTCATGGATTTGGCACCCCCTGGAATCCCAGATGTGCCGGGATGGGTTTGGCTCCTGCTCCAGCTCTGGTTTCCAGTCAGGCCCAGCAGGATCTGGGGGAATCCCGAGGGTTGGAGAGCTCCAGAAGCTCCCTGCTGGGAGGACACCAGAGCTGCAGCCATCCCGGAGCTGCCAACAGCATCGCTCCCTCCTGAAAAAAGCCAAAAATTAAAAAAAAAACTGAAAAAAGAGGTGGGAATCCCTCTCAGCTCCTGAAACGGCCCCAGAATCAATTCCCAATCCAAGAATTCCAGCTGAGAGCTGGAGCAGGTGAGGAATCCCCAAAAAAATAACCTGAAAAAGCGGTGGAAATCACTCCCGGCTCCTGGAACTGCCCCAAAATGGATTCCCAGGACAGGAATTCCAACTGGGAGCTGGAGCAGGTGAGGAATCCCACAAAATTCCTGGAAAAAGAGATGGAAATCCCTCACAGCTCCTGAAGCAGCCCCAAAATGGATTCCAAATCCAAGAATTCCAGCTGGGAGCTGGAGCAGGTGAGGAATCCCCAAAAAATATCCTGAAAAAGAGGTGGAAATCACTCCCGGGTCCTGGAACTGCCCCAAAATGGATTCCCAGGACAGGAATTCCAACTGGGAGCTGGAGCAGGTGAGGAATCCCACAAAATTCCTGGAAAAAGAGATGGAAATCCCTCACAGCTCCTGAAGCAGCCCCAAAATGGATTCCAAATCCAAGAATTCCAGCTGGGAGCTGGAGCAGGTGAGGAATCCCCAAAAAATAAACCCTGAAAAAGAGGTGGGAATCCCTCTCAGCTCCTGAAACGCCCCCAAAATGGATTCCCAGGGCAGGAATTCCACTGGAGCAGATGAGGAATCCCACAAAATTCCTGGAAAAAGAGATGGAAATCACTGCCAGCTCCTGAAGCAGCCCCAAAATGGATTCCCAGGGCAGGAATTCCACTGGAGCAGGTGAGGAATCCCAAAAAAATCCTGAAAAAGAGATGGAAGTCACTGCCAGCTCCTGGAACTGCCCCAAAATGGATTCCCAGGGCAGGAATTCCACTGGAGCAGGTGAGGAGGAAGAGGAGCTGCCGTGGCAGCAGGGAAGGAGGGGATGGAGGAGCCACGCGCTCATTAACAGGTCCTAATTAAAGCCGGGGATTGCACAATGCCTGTGGCAGCTCCCAGCCCTGTGCAGGGTTTCTTTTGGGATCAATCCAATCAACCCTGGAGGGCTCCCCCGCAAGGAATTGCAAATAAAGCTTTAAAAATTATATTTTAAAATTATTTTTTAAATTATTCTTAAATTTTTATTTTAAAAATTCATTTTTAAAAAACTTTATTTGAAAAAAAATTTATTTTCTACATAACAAAATTCATATTCTACATTAAAAATCCCATTTAACTCCCATAAACATCAACTGCATAAAATAAAAAATTAACTTTTCTACACCTCTGGTGCTTCACCTGCCATGCAGCCCTGATGACATGCAGCTAATTGTTAATTAAAATGTTGATTAAATTGTTAATTGCTGTTTGTGCAGAGTTCTGCTGATGTCACCTGCCCTGGCATGGCTTTGTCACCTCCCCTTAATTGCTCCACCCTCGTTAAAAATGAGATTCTTTTTGGGATATTCCTAATTTAAAAGGAGTTTTTAGGGGATTTTCCTCACTAAAAAGGAGTTTTTACGGAATATTCCTAATTTAGAAGGAATTTTTAATGGGACTTTCCTCAGTAAAACGGAATTTTTATGGAATAGTTCTCATTAAAAAGGAGATTTCTTTGGGATATTCCTCATTAAAAAGGAGATTTTAGGGAATACTTCTCAGTAAAAATGAGGGGTTTTGGGATATTCCTCATTTAAACGGAGTTTTTAATGAGATATTCCTCGTTAAAAAGGAGTTTTTAGGGGATATTCCTCATTTAAAAGCAGTTTTTATGTGATATTCCTTGTTAAAAAGGAGGTTTTTGGGGATATTCCTTGTTAAAAAGAAGGTTTTGTGGGATATTCCTCAGAATAAAAAGAGGTTTTAGGGGACATTCCTCGTTAAAAAGGAGTTTTCATGGAATATTCCTCATTTAAAAAGAATGTTTATGGGATTTTCCTCAGTAAAAAGGAGTTTTTAGGGGGATATTAACTGTTAAAAAGGAGGTTTTGTGCGCTATCCCTTGCTAAAAATGAATTTTAGGGGATATTCCTGGTGAAGAAGTAGTTTTTAGGGGATATTCCTTGTTTAAAGTGAATTTTTAATGGGATATCCCTTGTTATTAATGACCTTTTCAGGGGATATTCCTGGTTAAGAAGGAGTTTTTAGGGGATATCCCTCATTAAAAAGGAGCTTTTATGGGCTATCCCTTGTTAAAAATTAATTTTTAGGGGATATTCCTGGTTAAGAAGGAGTTTTTAGGGGAAATTCCTTGCTTAAAAGGAGTTTTTAGGGGATATCCCTTGCTAAAAATGAATTTTAGGGGATATTCCTGGTGAAGAAGTAGTTTTTAGGGGATATTCCTTGTTTAAAGTGAATTTTTAATGGGATATCCCTTGTTATTAATGACCTTTTCAGGGGATATTCCTGGTTAAGAAGGAGTTTTTAGGGGATATTCCTTGTTTAAAAGGAGCTTTTATGGGATTTCCCTTGTTAAAAATTAATTTTTAGGGAATGTTCCTGGTTAAGAAGGAATTGACGTATCCGGACCATGCTCCCGGCTGGGGCCGTGCGGCGATCGCGATACTTTTTTCGCTTTTATGTCGCGACAGGGATGGCGCTCGGGGCCCGGGGCTCGCTCCCCTCACGGTTCCCGCCCTTCCCCTCACAGTTCCCTCCCCTCACAGTTCCCTCCCTCCTTCTCTCCCCTCACGGTTCCCGCCCTTCCCTCCCTCCCCTCACGGTTCCCGCCACGGCGCTGGCGGCCCCGGAAGCGGAACGCGCGCGGGCCCCGGAAGCGCCGCCGCTCCTTCCCGGCCGCGCCGCCATCTTGGCTGGAGCCGTGAGGGAGCCGCGGCCGCC